CACACACGCACGCACGCACACATGGACCCACACTAGACGCAATAGTAGAAACCACACTGTTTTGGAACTAGAGGGAGCTAGTGGGATCTTCAAGGTTTTGAATTTTTTTTTTTTTAGTACTATTTTATTGTATTATAAAGGTGATGTACAGAGGGGTTACAGTTCACAAGCAAGGTAGTAAGTGCATTTCTTGTCGAACAGTGTAATCCCTCCCTCATTTTCTCCCATTTTCCCTCCCCCAGCTCCTCTTCTCCCCCCCCACCACGTTGTAAAATTCATTTCCAATATAGTGTCTTGTGAGTATTGCTGTTGCATTGGTTCATCCTTTGTCCTTTGTCTCACCATTTTGTTTTCTCCTTCCCTTCCCCTAAGCAAATGTGTGTGTGTGTGTGTGTGTGTGTGTGTGTGTGTATGTATGTATATGTATAAGACACAGGGTACCAAAGTCAAAAACAGTAACAACAGGTGATAAAACAAAGAAAAAAGAAAGACAAAAGAAATAACTTCAGACAGTGCATTAAAAAAATCCTCTTGTTTCCGTATCTTGGAGTTCATTCCAATTAGCATCATTTTATTTGGTCATATGTACATAGCTATTGTGCTATTGTGGATCCACTGCTAGGACTATCCTAGACATGTACTAATTATTACAAATGAGGGAAACCATGGAGTCTCTGTTTCTTTGGGTCTGGCTTACGTCACTTAATATGATTTTTTCTCCAAGTCTTTCCATTTCCTTATGAATGGGGTGATGTCATTCTTTCTGAACAGTGCTGGAGGAATATCAATACCAAAGTTCAAGTTTTAATTTTCAGTTCTATTTGTATAACTTTGGAAACACTGCTTACCCTCTGTGGGCCTCATTCTCTTTATTTGTAAAATGGGAATACCCAGCATTTAGTCTGTGTATTTAGAGAGAGGTTAAAGAAGAGAATGCATTCATTCAGTAAACATTTCCTCTGTGGGTTCTCTGGGCCAGGTATTGTTCAAGTGTGGGAGATGCAGGGGTGGCCTGTAGGGCACACAGAACAGGGCAGCTGCAGGTCTTCGGTGTTCCAAGCAGCTCCCCACTCTCCCTGCTTGGTGGAGCATCGGTCTCACTCACAATGACCATCCTTTGCGCCAGAATTATATTTTGTGACTCACCTGTTGACTGGATAGAGGGGGAGCTCCAGATTTGAGCTTGAGCCCTGGTACTCTGTTTTGGTCACTTAAGTTGGATATTTCATTTTAGCTTGAAGGCTTCTACTATGGTGAGGTGCTAAAGCAACCTCTGCCAGCTGAGCTGGCAATGACAGACTGATCTCTGCAGAGAGGCAAGGACAAGAGGAGGCAGGTCCCCAGCAGTGTTTCAGGCTACTCTGCCAAAGACAGTCCATGAGACTATCCCCCCACCCCCACCCCTTAGCCAGGTAAGAAACTCTCTTTCTTGACCTGAGCCATCTGGAATCCAGCCAAAGAAGGGCACCCATAGCTTCTGTGATCAAAACTAGAATGCATTAATTCCAATACATTGAATACATGAAGTATATCTTTAATAGGTTCTAGTCTACTGTCATTGCCCCTTCCAAACCCTATCCTATGACACAGTAGGTGCGCAATAAAAAGAAAAAATTCTGTATGCTACTGACTCTAGTAGGTGATCAGGAGTGCTGCAGAAAGGCCTTGCTGCTGGTGTGGCACGCAGCTGGGTTTACGTAATCATAAATTCACTGTATCTCAGACATGCTGAAAGGTTGTACAGGTCCCTGGACCCTCCAGTGGACGTGGGGGACTCTGGGAAAGAGCCCACTCCTGGTCTAAGATGCCTTCTCCCTCACTTCTCACTCCAAATCCACAGCAATGATTTGGAGGTGCATTTGCCTAGGTGCTACCTAGGCACACAGACAAATATCCCCAGGTGCACCATACCCCTCCGGCACCTCATGGGAACAGTTGGTTGAACATCTAGATGGGTAATGGCTGGCAATGCTTTGTGTAAGAAGCAGTGAGGAAAAACAGACATTGATGTCAGATCCTGACTGCAAGGCAGGGTTCTTTGGTGCTGAGGAAATAGGGACATCAGAAGAGGCCCAATGGATGTCTGAGGCCCAGAGAGAAAGGATTCTGGAGGCTTATCTATCAGAATGGCACAGCAGCCTCCAGCAGCACCAGCTCTCCTATCAGAATTGTACAGATCTCCAGAGCTCACTGATGGAGGCAACTAGAGGGTAAGCGTGGGGATCTGTGTCTAGTCATCTGGCGGGGGACAGGCAGGGCTAGGAGGGCCCATCCGCTGCTGTGGGAGGAAGTGACAGCCAGGCCTACTCCACCAACAATCAACCAGAAACCTTGGGTAGGAGGAAGTGGATGCCTCCAGCCTCCCCATGGAGCCCAATTAGGCAAAGTGAAGGGAGGTGTGAGAGGCAGTAGCTGGAGAACCAGGTAGATGGCGGAGTACTCATACCAGAATGTAGAGAGCTAAACAAGATTGTACCCCCGGCTCTAGTTCACTAATAAGACTGTGTTTACACCTGTGTAGCCAAGAAAACACACTGCTGACCTGTTGGTCAAAGTACCAAGTTCTGCAGGGATGGGGCTCTCCTCTGGCCTGGACTTGCTTCTCCCTCAATCTCCCCACCAGCTGTATAGCAGCCAGTCAGGTGTAGGTAAGGCTCGGGTTAGCTCAGCTTGGGAGTCCTCTGCCCCTTTTCCTTCTGGTTTAGACCCTCTGGGAGTCACATTCATGTAACTTGTGTCATGTGGCCTATCATGTGGCATGGGCATCTCTCCACTACAGAGCATAAGAGCATAGATTGGGAGTCCACTGGACCATGGGGCTACAACTCTGGTTCTTCCTGTATGACCATGGACCTTTTATTCCTCATGGTTTTGTTTTCCTCATCTATAAAGTAAGGTCCATCTGGAATCAAAGATGTTTTTTTTTTTCAGTTGAAATGCCCATTCTCTGACTATTGACATATCCTAACCACTGTGAATTTCCAGAATTTCCAGAGCCTCCGTTTCCTTTGCCTTTGTCTTCTTCTCCCTCTCCTCTGGCTTGGCTAACTCCTACTAGTCTTCATTCAGAGGAGTTCACTCTGTCATCGTCTTTGTCCAAACTATCAGCCTTTCACACCAGGACACCCATAACTTCTTCCTAACTGGGCTCCTGTCTCTAATATTGGATTCCCTCAATCACTGCCATATTCGAATACCCAATTGAGTTTGAGACTAAGCTCTTGCCCAACATGGAACTCTTCTGGTAGGAGAGGCAGATATTAAACCAAACAGACATGGCATGGTGAGGGCCACTGAGGAAAACCATATGGCCAGAATAATGTAGGTAGGGTATGTCAAGCATTGTCTTTCAGAGGAAGTGACATTTAGGCTAAGATGTGAGGGAGGTGTGGGGCAAGAGCACTCTCTGGAGAGGAAGGAGGATGTGGAAAGATCCAGGGGCAGGGAGTCCGTGGCCTACTATGAGAGCTTAAAGGAGGCCAGTGTGGCAAAGGAGAGGAAGGCAGGTGCAGTGGCTAACAGCAGCTTAGCACTGGCTTCTAGATTCTCATCTATAACTTCCATGTGTCTTCAGGGCTCTGCACAATCTGGGTCTGCTGACTCCTATACCCTAACTCTCCCACTGCACCCACTGTCTCATTTCAAGCCAGTTTCTTCTTCAAAGGTAAAGTCCAGATACTAGTTAGGACCACAAGAGATCAACCACCTGGCATGATAGAGTAATGGGATTCTTCTTGTAGATGAGCCTCTCAAGGTTGCTTGAATCGTTTCCTATTCCTGGGGTATGCTGAGGTGCACACTAGAATGGAGAAGGTGAGCTGGCTGCTGATAGGGTGCAGGCATGGTGATGTGGTCTTTAGTGGTGAGCCCATGCAGCCCTGCCACCTTTCTGCTGTATGGCCTCTGCCTTGTATTTTCAGGAGAGCCTTATCGAACAAGACAACTAAGATCCGGTTCTTCCGTGAAAACAAATCCAAGAACAGTACTCAGAGTTGGTAAAGTAGCAGGAAAAAGTAGGAAGCTGGAGATGATAGCTGTAGTGAACTAGCAGAGACAAGAAGGGACTGGAGGCTTGCATAGGAAATCTTATCTCTGAAGGTAGAAGCCAGGGACATTTGGCTTATACTCCTTTGCTCTTCAGTGCATCAGGGAGCCCCTTTTCTGGTACTTACATGTGGCCAGGTCTCCTAGAGTGGGGAATTAGAGGAGAAAATGTGGCCTCTAGAAGTGAATAGCTGGGGAGAGTATGCAGAACAATGACAAGTCTAGAAAGAAGAGCAGAGGTCTGTCTGTAGTCCTAAGAACAAAGTGTGCAGGTAGTGTAAGATCTTGGGGAAATATTTTAACATTGACCTGCCTATTACTTTGCTCATATTGTCTTTTCTGTCACCCTTACATATCTCCTTAGAAACAAGACTGGGGATAGAGCGTAGTAGTGGAGCACTTACCTAGCATTTGAAAGGCCCTAGGTTTGGTCCCCAGCAACACACATGCATGACACACACACATGCGCATGAGTACACGTGTGCTCACATACTCCTCAGTCTTATTGCATTTCATACAGGAAAAGAAACTGTAGGAGGTATTGTTTGCTTTCGATTTAGCTTGCAGTAGAGAAAACCAAGAAGGAAGTAGCAGGTGGGCCTAGCTAAGATATAAGCAGGCAGCCGGGTCCTCAGGCCCAGGAGGAAGAGCAGCAGGTAGGAAGGCTGCCTCAAGTCCTACGTGATCTCTGCAGTCCAGGCAGCCCAATTCCCACACAGAACAACCCTCAGTAGCTTTGGGTGAGCAGGGGGCCCTAGTCCTCAGGCTCCTCTCTTTCCCTGTCCTGCCCAGAGCCATTTAGTTAAGCAGAAGTTGGACAAGGTTGTGGGCAAGAACCTTTATTCTATGTCTCCAGATCTCCAGGACAAGATGAAGAGGTCAGTGGGGTCAGTGGGGCAGAGCTGCAGGGCTGAGTCTAGGCTAGTGACAGATCCTCGGGCCTAGGTACTTCCGGCTGTGGCTGGAAATGGCTTCCCAGAAGAGTCACTTGGCATGCACTTCAAAATCTACCTCTGAATCAATGAGGGAAGGGAGCCGGATCCCAGCAATGGTGTGGAACCCTGGGATCTGCTCTTGTTCTTGTATCTGGTCTCTAAGGCGCCGGATTTCTAGGCGTTGCATTTCGATGATTCTCTCGGTTTCTTCTTGCTCATTCAATCTCATGGTAGGAGAGACAGGGGCCTTGTCCATGGTGGGTGCTGTAAGGGTCACAAGGAGGAGAAAATTGGCCAGTTTGCTGCACCCATCCCTCTTAATATTCACTGGGCATCTACAGCAGCAAGAAACTAAATTCCAAGTGTTGGGGGGACAGAGATAAAGCAGGCTACTTCACTGGCTCATGGAGAGACAGAGAAATGAAGAGCTACACTTTGGAGTGATAAGGCAAAAGCCCCTTCTTGGTCTCCAGGTACCCGGGCTGAGGACGTGTCCAGGGGAGGCTGCTCTTCCTCCCATTCCCCAAGCCTTGGCCAGGTGGCACATCCTTGTGTATTCTGCAGCCTTCTAAGCCACCAGTCTCCTCCTCCTTTTAGCATCCTATTCTTAGGCTCCTGGGGCAGTAATGACCTTGGCTTCTGTGTCACATCCACACCCACTCCTGTGGCTTCCCCTTGCTCTGTACTATCCAGGGTCCTTCATCATGAACACTGTTCACACACCAGTCTGCCATTCCTTGACACAACCTTTTACTGCTTGGGCTCAAGCCCTCTGGCTCAGACCTTGTCTTTCTAGACTACTCTATTTCTTACTCATTAAATGGTTCCTGAGTTCACTCTCAATGGAAAAGAGAGTCTAGCCTTCCCACTGCCAATACTCTAATGCAGACCTAGGGGAAAAGCTAGAGAGGAACAGATATTGAAGGCCGAGAGAGAGAGAGAGAGAGAGAGAGAGAGAGAGAGAGAGAGAGAGAGAGAGAGAGAGAGAGTTTTGACGAGGAAGTGGTCACCAGTGGCTGGTATTGCCTTGGGCCTCTCTAACTGGTCTAACAGGGCTACCATCCAAAAGAGCATTTGACTTACCTCATCCTTCTTCCCAGGAGAAGCCTGAACCCTTCTCTCTCTGCTCCTTGGCTCTTCTCATTTTTGGCCATCAATAGACTCTTGATGATTTTTATGTCTTCCCTAGGCTTTGACAACCTACTCTCTGCCTCCCTGCTAACCATCGCCTCACACAAGCTCTAGCCTAGTCCTGGGGCCCTGGGAGAGCAGTATACCTCGGGAAGGCAGAGCACACACAGGCCTCCCTGCCCCATCTACCTGTTTGAGCTTGTACAGCTCACCTGTGTCTTGTTTTTGTTTATTTCCTCACCTGTTCCCTCAGCCACTGCCTCTCTTCCATGGTCACTAGCATAGGCTCTGAGAGGCAGTGACCTCTCTCATCATAGCCTTTAGACTACTTGTCCAGTCACCATCTGGATTCCCAGGGGTTCTCACCTGTGTGTGAAGCTGCAGTCCTAGAGGTACTCAGTGGAGTGTAGTCCAATTGGCCACACCAGCCTTGCTTTACCCCCAGTGGTTCTCCAGATGTTATAAGAATCTTGATGCAGATTGTGACTTTAAGGCCCGCTAGGCTGTGCACTGATTTGGTGAGATCAGTAGACCTCTGCAAGCTCTTCCCTCACACACAAGGGAAAAGGATCAGACACTGCAGAGCCACAGGGCAGCTCAGGGGCTGCCAGGGACTGTAGGGTGCTGGCTGACCTCCTAATAGCAGTTGTCTTCTGGAATATGCCTGATCTTGGCCACACTGCCCTGCAAATATTCCTGGGATATGGCTTTGCCTTCTAGAAGGCCAGCTCATAGAAGTGAGCTGCTTATGGCCCATAATAAGTCTGCTTTCTTTTTATCATGTCTCTTATTTTTTAAAAATTTTTTGGCACATAGGAGTGAGTGGCCATACCTGACATTCAGAACTCCTGGAGGTTAGGTGTAGGGTCTTAAACTTGGATTTCATCTGTACAACTCTGTGCACATTTTGTACCCTTTGCCACTTTGAAGGTGTTAAGACACCATTTCTGGCTTTCACTATTGCTACTAAGAAGTCAGATGCCAATGGGATTTTTTTTTTTGGTCGGTCATGGGCTTGAACCCTGAGTCTGGGCTCTGTCCCTGAGCTCTTCAGCTCAAGATGAGTGCTCTACTACTTGAGCCACAGCACCACTTCTGGTTTTCTTGGTGGTTTATTGGAGATAAGAGTCTCACAGACTTTCCTGCCCAGGCTGGCTTTGAGCCATGATCCTTGGATCTCAGCTCCTGAATAGCTAGGATTACAAGTGTGAGCCTCTGGAGCCCAGCTCCAATGGGATTTTTATTCCTTTGTATGCAATCTATCTCTTTTCTGTGATGCTTTTAATATGGTTGTTTTGGTATTTTCCAGTTTAGATGTTTATTTCCTTTTAATTATCTTTCTTGGGAGCCATTGGGGTTCCTGAATATGATGTCTGGCATCTGTCATACACTGGATTATTCTCTTCTATCCTCTACCTTTTGGCTCTTTCATTGTCCCTCTGGGCTGCACTCTGGCTATTTTCTCTGTTTTTACTTTTAATTTACAAATTCTCCCTTCAGATGTCTAATACACTGTTTAGTTTTTCCACTGAGTTTCTAATTACAACTCCCATGTGCTCCCCAGTGAATTGCTTTTCCTCCATGCCACAGTACACGAGACAGCTGACACTGAAAGATGTCACCAGGACTATGGTTTTTGAGCTAAGTTTTACTCCTGAATATAAGCCACCCAAAAGCAAAAATTCTTGAATTTCACTGGTTTAATTTCTATAAAAATGGTTTTCATTGTTTGCCCAGATAAAAAATAGATACCGGGGAATGCTTCCCTATTGCCTGAAAGCCCACAAAGATTGTCCATTGCTCTTCAAAATCCCTTCTAGAAAGGCCCACATAATAAGTTTCTTATAGAATTTATTGCCAGGAGAAAGTTATTTGTCTAGAAGATAATGTAAACTGTGCATACTATTCCATTTCTTTATTTCTCCTTTTACTGTAGCTATCAGAAATCCAAGGGCATTGTGGATTTAATTTGCTTTTCTTTTTGTGCCAGTCCTGGAGCTTGAACTCAGGGCCTGGACATTGTCTCTGAGCTTTTTTGCTCAAGGCTAGTGTTCTACAATTTGAGCGGCAGCTCCAATTTTTTTTTTGGGGGGGGGGAGGTTGGTAGTTAACTGGAGATAAGAGTCTCACAGACTTTACTGCCCAGGCTGGCTTCAAACCACAATCTTCAGATCTCAGCCTCCTGAGTAGCTAGGATTATAGGCATGAGCCAGTGATGCCTGGCAACTCATGGCTTATTCCTTGGGAAATTATTTCCCCTCTTCTCTTTTGATATTTTCCTCTCTTTTAGTCTTTATTTGAATTGCATATGTCCACAATCCCTTTACCTCACAAGTCTAAAATGCAAAACAAAGATTTAAAAATGGAATGTTTTTTAAAAAAATTCATGAGGCTTATATGCATATTCATGTGTCACTACAGAATACTGATGTGTCTGATTCCAGGCTACTGTCCCCAGACCCCACTAGGGATGTTACATAATGCACAGCAGGCCTATTGTAGCGAACCGTGGGGGCTTTCAGACAGGGCTCTCTGTGTTTGAAGAGGAACAGGGTTCCTAAATCCTTTGTAGGGTAGACAGAGGCTCTCAGAAGGCCAAGGGTGTCCCAATACCTGAAGAGGCCAGGGGAGCCCTGCTCAAGGCTGTGCGTTGGGCCCTCCATCCCAATGCCCAGCTCCCTGGCTAGTGATATTACCTATCTCTGGGGGTTCTTGTGGTCTCATTTTCCTGGTCAGTTTCAAAGCTGCTTCCAGGTCATAGACTTGAGAGCGGGTCAACTTCAGCTCCCTGCGGAGCTCATTAATTTCTTTGATCAGAGAGACATTTTCCTTCAAAAAAGAAAAAGAGAAAGAAAGAAAAAGAGTGAGTATGGGTGGATGAGTGATTGGCAGATGCAGGGGAGGTCCTGCAGGGTTGAGGGGCAGGGACGGGCAGGTTGGTCTGGATTGAGGTTAACTCTATGGGGCTCGTCTTTTTTTTTTTGCGGGGGGGGGGGGGTCGGTCATGGGGCATGAACTCTGGGCCTGGGCGCTGTCCCTCAACTCTTCAGCTCAAGGCTAGCGCTCTACCACTTGAGCCACAGCGCCACTTCGGGCTTTTTTCTTTTTGCTTATGTGGTGCTGAGGAATTGAACCCAGGGCCTCATGCATACAAGGCAAGTGCTCTACCACTGAGCCACCTTTCCAGCCCCAGGCTCAAGTCTTTAATCTTGCACATTGCCTAGCCTCAGAAAGTACTGGCCAACTTGCCTTGAGGTAGACTCAGTACTGCTCCCATCCATCCATGTCCCCTTCCTTCTTTTCCTTTTTTCTTTTTCTTCCTTTTCTTGGATTGAATCCAAGGCCTTGGACTTGTTAAGCAAGCTTTCTACCATTTGAGCTATACCTTTTTGTTGTTGTTGTTTTTGAAATAGAGTCTTGTTAAATTTGACTGGGCAGACCTTTATATTCTTGATCATCCTGCTTTAATATTACAAGTAGCTGGGATTACAGGAATGTACCACCAAATGTAGCTTTTTCTAATACCATTCATAGATTTTCAAATATCAGTAAAAAATGTTTCCCTAAGCATTTTTTATGTTTAAGGATCAGAGAAACCTCATGGCTCTATTCTATTCCAATCACGTGTGTGTGTGTGTGTGTGTGTGTGTGTGTGTGTGTGTGTTGGGAGATTGAACCCAGTGCTTTGTACATGCTTTGTTCATGCTATGTCACTGAACTATCCCCCACCAGACCCTACCATTAGTCTGGGTCTTAAGTATTGTTGCCCATTTTCATTTTTTCATTCTTTTTATTGTTAGTGGTGGTGGGTAGTGGTCATGGGGCTTGAACTTGGGGCCTGGGAGCTGTCCCTGAGCTCTTTTTGCTCAAGGCTAGTGCTCTACCACTTGAGCTACAGTGCCACTTCCAATTTTCTGGTAGTTTCATGGACTTTCGAATCTCATGGACTTTTCTTCTCCAGCTGGCTTTGAACCATGATCTTCAGATCTCAGCTTCCTAAATAGCTAGGATTATAGATGTGAGCCACCAATGTCTGGCTCCATTCATTTTTTGAACCTATATTACTAGAGTATCTACTAAGCCCTTGTGATATAGACAGAAATAATACATGGGTCCTGAACTTGACACTATGCTATTTGGTGAGCAACATGGAAAAGTAAAGGAATCAATATGTGCTACATCCATGGAAATCTTCCCCATGTTGGTGTGTAACAAGTATCCCTGGATCCTACAAAATGTGCTGAGTACCCATCATGTGCCAGCCTCTGTTGATATATAGAAAGTGGGGACTTCACAGTTTAGGGAATATCTTAGCATGGAACTGCCTTGGTAAGATGGAGGTTCCTAGGATCTGGGACCAGGGCTGAGGCTTATAGGAGTTATCAAGGAGAGGGGCAAACAGGGCCCTGAACAACTGGAACAACAGAAGGCATGGGACAGAAGTGAGTGTAGTAGGGGAGTAATGCTGGTATAGAAGTTGTGCATCACTAGAGTGCAAGCTGAGAAGAGGTGGGGGGGGGGGGGAGAAGAAGGGTCCAGGCACCAGTGGCTCCCACCTATAATCCTAGCTACTCAGGGGGCTGAGATCTGAGAATAGCAGTTGGAAGTCAGCCTGGCCAGGAAAGTCTGTGAGACTCTTATCTTCAATTAACCACCAAAAATGCTGGAGCTGGAGCTGAGGTGGTAGAGCATTAGCCTTGGACAAAAACGGTCAAGGACAGTGCCAGGCCCTGAGCTCAGGCCCCAGGACTGGCACCAAAGAGGGAGGAGAAGGAGGGGTGGAAGAGAGAAAGAGGGCGAAGCTTGCTAGAGGCCAGCTGCTGCATGTTGGGACTATATAGTCTGTCTTGTCTTTTTCCTATGCCTCAAATCTCTGCTCTTCCATTTAGCATCAGGGAGGAAGCCCTATGTCTCGAATATGTTGGGCTGCTTTGCCCTTAGAGAGTTCACAGCCTCAGTATTCTGCTTGCCTACCATGGAGTCTTGCATATAACTCTACAAATAAATCACCCAAGCATCTTATTAAATGGAGCTGTGGGTCTGCTTTTCTTTTTTTTTTAATGCATGACATTTAAAAAATTACTGTTACTATAAAGGTGATGTAACAGAAGGGTTATAGTTGGGATCTACATTTCTAACCAGCTCCCAGGGATAAGGCTGCAGGCTAAAACTATACGAGATGGACCCACTCCAGAAACAAACTGTACCTCTACTTGGGGTGTTATACCATGCATGGTGGGTATGTGGTAAGAGCCTGGATGAATGGGAGGACTTCTCTTACTAAGCTGTGATGAGTCCTTCTCTGTAGGAGGATGGACCTCTGGGGCTCAGGACTCTACAGACTTTTCATCTAAGCTCAGACCTAGAGCTTCTGGGTTCTAGTATATCACTTAATTTCATGTTCCTCATTTGAGAAAATTACTTGTGTCAAACCAACCCCCTCGCCTCATTCTCCAGGCCTGGCTTTGAGCCTGCTTTTTTTTGTGTCTGCTTTTTTAAAGCAGCAGGATTCGTTTGTTTATTTATTCATTTGGTGCTGATACTGAGCCTCAAACTCAGGGCCTCTTTCTCTCATTTGGCTTTTTGCTCAAAACTAATTCCCTTACCACTTATGCCGCATTTCCATTTCTGGCATATTGCTCGTTAATTGGGGGTAAGAGCCTCACAGCTTTTCCTGCCTGGGCGGGCGTGGAAGCATGATCTGTAGATCTCAGGCTCCTGAGTATTATCTAGGATTACAGGCCTGAGCCACCCCAACAGCAGGCTTCCCCCCCGCCCCCCACTGAATGCTTTATCCATTTTTTTCTGCCAGTCCTGGAGCCTGAACTCTGGGCCTGAGCACTGTCCCTGAGCTTCTTTTGCTCAAGGCTAGCACTCTACCACTTGAGCCACAGCATAGAGCCACTTCCAGCTTTTTCTATGTATGTGATACTGAGGAATCAAACCCAGGGCTTCATGCATGCGAGGCAAGCACTCTACCACCAAGCCATATTCCCAGCCCCTGCTTTATCCTTTCAACCTAAGACTTGAAGACCAGTTGCCCACTTTTCCTTTCTAGATGACATCCAATAACATTCTGCTAGAACTTCCTCATACCAGCTTTACATCATGTTCATGACATTATTAGTCCAAAAGGTATTTATTGGGTGCTAAGACCTTGGACCCCGCCTTGCTCAATAACTGTTGCTGAGATGGATAAGCCAATGAATAACTAAGTCAGTGGATACCAGCTTACAATATGATGAGGATCTTCCTAACCAAGGGTTAAGAGGTGGAAAACGAGACCAGAACAGAGGGGAAAGGATTTGAGAGAACCACAAGGAAGTCACATGTGCTCTGGCTTGAAAGCATCTAGAACTCCTCTTAGTTGGCTTTTCTTATTTCACTCCCACCTCATTCAATAAAGTAAGAAAGATCATCAGAATGACGACTTGAGATGGCAAGTGCCCTTTTTGAGTCTTTTCTGCTTATATCTTTAGTTACTTCCTCTTCTTGGTCACCTCCAATCATTTGGTTATTGACTCCTATCTTGTTCTCATCCTGCTATGATCGGTGGCCAGCAATTCCCAGCATCTCGGCCTTCTACCATTATAATCATCTTAGTTCCCCGACTACCACCACCACGCCCTGTCAACCAGTTATGATTCTATGATTTCCAGCTCCTGGTACTTTCTGGTGTGAATGTTCATTTCTGACTCACCCTTTGACACCTCCATGATGCCCAGATACCCAAAATGGGCCTCCAAGGCACAACTAGATCCTTATTCAAGTGTGATTGAGGCCCCGACTTAATACAGCCCAATTCTTATTTATTTATTTGTTTACTTATCTACTCCCCCTGCCAAATCACCAATGACCTAGTTTCCTGCCACCCCCCCCCCCCCAAACACTTGTGGACCACTGATCATTGTGCTGAACATGGTCTTTAAGAAGGCTTTAAGGAGAAGTATGCCATGGAAATCAGATGCAGGGGATCAACCAAGTATAGAGAAGAATGTTCTAGGCCTGAAGTCAAGAGAGAGCACATAGAATGTCAGAGCCATCATAATGGCAAGGCTGCAAGTGCTGGATCCCAGCAGGGTCTCAAACATTTTCAATATATTACCTCATTTCATCCCTACAACAACTTTGTATTATCAGACTGACTTTGTAGGAGGGAACAAGGCCGTGTATAAATGGTAGAGCTGGCGTTTGTACTTAGCTGTATCTGTCTTCAGTGTGCCCTGTTTCTGCATGACCACTCCATCCCACACTCGACTTTCTTACTTCCCATTTATGTGACTTCTGTTCTAATATCACACATAGTATTATGGCTATGGAACTACCCAATAAGTCAAAATTGAGCTCCTTAAAAATGCTTTCCAGAGGGGGCCTGTGTCCAGAGGTCATGCTGAGGTCAACTGTGCTTTTGTGAATTAAAAAATGTGGGCTCAAAAAATGCTTGCTGAGCCTTCTGTTCCTGTTGGCCACTGATCGGGATGGCCTACAAAAATCCCTCCAGTCCTCCATACCCCCACTTAGCTACTCTTAAGTGCCAAGTTTGGAGAATTTGCGGCAGATTGAGGGATGCTAAGGTCTCTTTATATAAAGATTTCTAAACAAAGGGACTAGAACTGCCTGAGGCCTTCAGAACTACCTGACACCCTGGCTGAAGTTTCAGACACCCGTGTTGGGGAAGGAAAGGAGGGGAAGCCTGTAGTGCCCCCTACTGGCTGCACTGGGTCAATGCCTCTACTCGTAGGCAGTGCCTTACAGTGTGGAAAAGCAGGCCAACAGATGCATTTTGTGAACTTGAAAACCTTGCATGGCTTAGTCAGATCATCGTCTATCTCACTACACAGCCAAACATCCTAGAATCTTCCTGTGCTCCTTTCCTCTTCTGCCTGTGTTTAACATGGCATTTCAACTTGTCATTTTTACTCTGAAATACCTTTGACATCAGAATTCTCCCCTTTTCAAGCCCTTCTCATTTACCCTTAACCTGACAGGCATCTCCTAATAGGTTTTCCTGTGTCTTTTTCTACAAGCTGGTACCAATGGAGCTCATCTTTTTTTTTTTTTTTTGTAGGTGGTAGGGCCTGAACTCAAGGCCTGGGTGTTGTCCTTGAGCTCTTTTGCGCAAGGCTAGTGCTCTGCCACTTTGAACCATGGGGCTACTTTCAGTTTTCTGGTGCCTAATGGGAGATAAGAGTCTCACAGACTTTCCTGCCTGGGTTGGCTTTGAACCATGATCCTCAGATCTCAGCCTCGTAGGAGGCTCCTACAGGTGTGAGCCACTGGCACCTGGCCGAGTCCATCTTTTTGAGGCAAAGATAATATCCCTGAGTACCTGAGCAGAGGCACTTGATGCCTCTTGGCACGGGGTGGAAGGTGCTTTTCAACATGAGGTCAGCTACATACCATTCCTGCCCCAGCTCTATGATAAACTAAAGACCTGGAGATCTACTGTTCTTTAACCCCTGCCCACCCCCCCCCCCATTCCAAACAAATAAACACCCCCCCCCCCCATCTTTCTTTTGCTTTTCCTCAGGTAATTTTCTCTGCCTGGGAGGCTTTCTCCCCATCTGGTCCCTGACCATTCTCTACTTCCTTGAGAAGTCTTCCACGAGTTCCTAAGACATGCTTCTACCATGAGCCCACAGCACCACTGGAGGCCCCTACACCTGCTTCAAGTGCCTTCTCTCCCTCCCCTTTGGTGATTACTAGGGTTTGAACTTAGGGTTTTGTGTTTGCTGAGCAGGTGCTCTACTACTTGAGCCAAACCTTCAGCCCCTTTTATTCCAAATACTTTTCAAATAAGATCTTACTTTTTGCCTGAACTAGCATGACCCTAATTATTTTTACTTCCTATGTAACTGAGATGATATGGTGCCTAGCTTTGTACTGGTTAATATGGAGTCTTGGCTCTGGCAGGCCTCGAACTTTGATCCTCCTGATTTCAGTCTCTTGAGTAACTGAGATAGGTGTGAACCTATCAATTATAGGTGTCAATCATTGTACCTGGACCAATTCTTTTAAAGAACTCCCTAAAGATAGAACATTCTTATACTTATCTTGGAATCCTCCATGGCTCCTTATGTAAGAAGCCCTCAAAAAATGTGAACCAAATGTATAAAATGTGTGTCCTAGATGTTTGCATTTCATAGCAACTCTTAGTTCCTAATCTGTAAGGGTGCCGAGGAATGGAATGGAAAGGCCTCCAGCTCCTATCTGGTTATACAGATGAGACAGTGGCCTCGTTATTTCAATTATTTTCTAATGAGTTGCTCTCAGATACCATGTGTATCTCAGCCTTCCTTAGCTAGTTGGGGCTCTAGTAGCTGTATCTACAGCTCTAGCTTGTGCTGAGGCACCCAGCTGGGGGTCTGAAGTAAGGCATGCTGTTTCTCCTCCCAACACCCCCCCCCCAACCCCCATCTCTAGGCCATAGGCACCCCTGGCTCATGATGTGGTGGACTGTTTCTCTCACTGGATTTCCACTGGTTCTAGAATAAGTTCTTTGCAGAGAGAAAAGAAAGGGAAATGACATTTTTGAGCTAGTTCCTAGTGTTTTATAGTTGGGCACCTTGCTTGATCCTCATGGTGGCCACTGAGGTAGATGTCTTTCTGCCCCACTTCCAGATGAGCATGGTGTTCTTGGAGAGGGTAAGGATTTCACCCATGGACTCCTAGACAAAGATCAGTGGAAGCAGTGTAATCTAGGTCTCTACAACAACAGTGCTCACTTATCCCCCACATCCTGGAAGTCTTTGTGCTCAAGACTAATGGTATACAACTTGAGACACAGCTCCACTTTCTGGCTTTTTGGTGGTTTGAAATTTTCCTTTTCAAAACATCTTCTTAAGCTGGGCACAAGCCAAGTGGAACAGGGAGTCCCTGAGTTCAATCCCCAGTACTGGCAGGCATAGAAAACACACACACACACACACACACACACACACACACACACACACACAATCTTCCTAAGGTTTTTGAAAGTCAAATCTTTTCCTCAGGTCCTCTGCAATCAGTAGTAAGAATCTTTCTGGTTGGGGCCCCGCCTTGGGTCTCCTTCTTGTCTCTGCAGTTGTCTGAGTTGCTTCTCTGGCTCCACGGCAATGTACAGCACATGGCATTACAATGCTGCTCTGCTAGGGTTCCTATGTGGCTGCTTCCCTCTGCCCACCTCAGGGAGTGGCAGGGCTGGGCACAAGCCCTGCTTGGCCTTCCTCTGCTACCTACCTCCACCCTAGCTGGGTACCCTCTGGGCAATGGGAGTGGGGGAGATAGCGAGAACAAGCTGCCTGCCCCTGTGTGGATGCTTCGACCTTTTTACTTCTTTGGATTCTGTGCGTAGGAGACTGGCAGTTGCTTTGGGTGTCTGCTTGCCATGGAGAAAGGGACCAGCCTGTGGAAGATTCCCAGGCCTATGTGCTGCTGGCAGGGCATGGATGAAAGCCCAGCTGGTCACCAGTTGATAACTGCTCCTGTTGTCACCCAGATTTTATTGCCCATCTGACTCAGGGACCTCTCCTTGCTCTGGACACTTGAGGCATTTAGTAATAGCTGTATGTGGCTGCTGTTAAGGGTCTTACCCACTGTGCCTCTTTTTGGGCCTCCACCTGCTTTTGTGGCTCAGAGTAAGGTAATGGTTTAATGGAGGTAGGGGCAATTTTAGGATGGCATGAGGTCAGTTGTGCCTGTGTCTGGCCTGAATTGCAGTGTGCTCTCCCCTGCTGGGTATGGACTGGCCAGCCTAGGGTGTGGCTTTTAATCTAACTGCCACCTGTCCCCATTCCAGTATTTTAATTGGGGCATTAAAGGAATGTCAATATAAAGAGGTACATACTTCATAAATGAAATTCTGATGCTCTCTTTTGATATTAATTCATATTAATTGCCTCAGACGATACTGAGATACAAGCAGAAGCCTGCTGGGCAATCTTGATACCATGCTCAGGTGGGGGTGTTGATAATGGGGCCAGGAAGAGCCCCAGTGAAGAGATTGGGAGATGGGTGTAGTAAGCGCCTGATATCTGACGGATGCTAAATCAGGTGGGTGTGGCTAGCTCTGAACCAGGAGATAAGGGTAGGACCTGGGGCACCAGAAAAGTGAGATGAGGCAGGCATGTCCCAGCAGGTGTGAAGTGCAGAATAAAAAAAGCAGCAAAATCAAAGCCAAGTGAAACAAGAGTTAGAACCAGAGGAGAGAGGAGAGAGGGTGTCTGAGGAAAGCTGACCTGGACCAAAGTCCCAAAGGATGGAGAGCCATGAGGGGAGCGAGGCAGGGACACACGTTCGCTGTGGATACAGACGGGCATGGAAGGGAAAGAGGGATGCCTGGTGAAGTAAGATAGGCAAGGAAAGGCTTTTGGTCACAGGCACAGTCAGAATGAGCTCTGGGAGGTCAGAGGGAGGGGTCGAGGGTCCTCCCTTGGCTGTAGGGTCCCCTGGAAGTCTGGGAAGCATGGAGGATGGGTGGTCTCTGAGAGATCCTGGATCTCTGCCACCTGAGCTTCCCAGGGAGCTTGGTGATGTGCGCCATGCTGGTACCTGCATGATGCGGACGTAGTCGCTGCGGTGCAGCTCGCTCTCCTTGACCACCTTCTTCTTGAGCGTGGCCAGGTTCCTCTCGAGATGCTCCCGCTGGCGGGCGTACTCCTGCTGCAGGTCTGAGTTGAGCCCAGCAATCTCCACCTGGTGGGGCCGAGGGAGTTCTCAGTGAGGGAGGGGAGGTGTGGAGCGTAGAGCAGGGCAGGGCAGGAAGAGAATTCTGAGCTCACCATGTCTGCCCGCTGCACGTACTTCTCAAAGAGACCCCGGATCTTCTCCTTCAGCAAGCGGGGCTCCTGGATATATGCCACGCAGTTGTGGAGGTCTGTCTTAAACTGTCTGACCAGCGCTTCCAAGTCCCGCTCCTGCAAGCAGAGATAGTTAGTCTGGCCACCGCAAGGTGTGTTCCAGGTGGAGAAGCAGGGGCTACAGCCAGAGGCTAAGGGCACAAAAAGGAACAAGAGTCCCCTCGTCCGGGACTTACAACTGACCATCAGGGGGCCCACTGGGCGTGGAGACTGAGGTGAGCACACAGCTAAGTGGGACAGTACTGAAATTCTGGTGTACCTGGCTGGGCTGGGTCCCTTGCCCGAACAAGCTAAGTGGCCTGGTGCATCATCCTTAAGAGACAGCACATAGCTTCTTTTATCGCTCTGGATTCCTTTGAGGGCTACAGGCCTTGGATGAAAGGAAGCTCATACAACCATATGTGTTACTTTAGAGCCAAGACAGAGAGTATATTCTGGCCAGGGCTCCCTTTCTCCCTCTTGACAGTCAGGAGTACTGTGTGAACAGGGGGAAGAGGATCCTGGAGAATCAGGCAGATCTGTGATCCCTGACCTAGGGAGGCTCCCTTCTTTTCCTTTGCTCCCTTAGCCCTTTATCCACATCCCCTAAGTTTCTATTTCATACTCTAACACGCACATGCCACCTATCGCCTATCAGCATCTTCAGCTTGTGAAAGGATTAGAATCTGTTCCCATTTGTAACCCTGCAACTTCTAGTTTTATCTAGTACACGGTAAATGTTTGATGTGGAGGATGGGAAAATTCATTCTGATTCAATAAACACTAGCTATGTACTGGCCTAGGACCAGAAGACTTGATTGGCTCCACGTGTGCTAGCTAGCTATGCATGCTGGTACACTTACACTTTTCTTTTCCTCCCTTCCCTCCCTTTCCCTTCCCTCCTTCTCCCTCCCTCCCTCCCCCCCTCCCTCCCCCCCTCCCTCCCTCCCCTCCCTCCCTTCCTTTCTCCCTTCCTCCTTCCCTTCCCTTCCTCCCTCCCTTCCTTCCTCCCTTCCTCCCTTCCTTCTGGTATTGGGGTGTGAACTCAGGGCCTGGATGCTGCCCCTTAGCTTTTTTCATTCCATCTGTCACTTGAGCCACAGCTCCACACTTCCAGCTTTTTGGTGGCTAATTAGAAATAAGAGTCTCAGCTGGGCTCTAGTGGCTCATGCCTGTAATCCTAATTACTCAGGAGGCTGAGATCTGAGGATCGTGGTTCAAAGCCAGCCTGGGCAGGAAAGTCCACGAGACTCTTATTTCCAATAAACCACCAGAAAACCGGAAGTGGTGCTGTGGCTCAAGTGGTAGAGTGCTCGCCTTGAGCTGAAGAGCTGAGGGACAGCACCCAGGCCCAGAGTTCAAGCCCCATGACTGAAAGAAAAAAAAGAAAGAAAGAAAGAAAAAAGAAAAAAAAAAGTCTCACGTATTTTCCTGCTCGGGCTGGCCTTGAACTATGTTCTTCAGATCTCAGCCTCCTGAATAGCTAGGATTACAGGAGTGAGCCATTCCTGGTAAATGATAGAAGTTTCTTAACCTCCATATTTTCCTGCCCATACTTTCCTTATAATATAGACATAGGAATCGATGATGTCTGAGGCTCTTCTAGTCTTGATAGTTTTGTTTTTGGTGTTCAATGACTTTAACCACTGAGTACAAATGACTGCTCTGGTGCTATTTTCCCCTAGACTAAAGAAGCCAAAGACTCAAAATGTTCTCACGAAACCAGCGCCTCTCCTCTTGGTCACTGCACCCGAGTCATTTTATAGTCTCAGATGAATTCTGTCATAGAAATTTGCTTGGGCCTGAAACCAGGCAGGGTTGTGGCCAAGTAGAGTGTGAGTTAAAACAGGAAGTGCATCTTGGCAGTGGGCTGGTTCTTTCTCCAACAAGCCAGCTGCCCACTGCAGGCAGGTGCCAGATTCTGCCTCCAAGCACTGCCAGACTCTGCAAACCCTCCCACCTTCTGTTGCTCCTTGCGCATCTCTTGGTCGGTGGCTCTCAGTTTCTGCCACAGTTCTGTGATGTTCAGCTCCAGTTGTGTGTTCTGTTTATGGAAACGCTCCAGCTCGCTTTCCATCTTTGGGGAACCAGAGAAAAAGAGGTAGAAAATCAGAAAGTAAGAGAATGGAAATTACATTTGAGAACCGAAGACTTTTGGTGGAAATATTCCCTAGTACCAAGTACCAAGGCCTATTTTTTCTCACTCTCATTTGCACTCTCTGGTTGATGAAACCTTTCTTCTTAGTTGTTGCCATCCTGAAAGTTCTTCTGTCTCCTTTCCTGATGTGTCTCAACTCAGGGCTATGTGTGTCTATGGCTAGGCTGGAAAGTTTTCCTTTCCAGTCACCTTTTCTTTCATTTACCACAAAGATTCCATGAAGATTTCTTTCTTTCTTTTGTTCTGTGCCAGGCTTGGGGCTTGAACTTGAGACCTGGATACTGCCCCTGAGCTTTTGTACTCAAAGCTAGCACGCGATCACCTGGGCCATAGCTCTATTTTCTGCTTTTTCCTGATTAACGGGAGGTAAGAATCTCTCCAGTTTGTCTGCCCGGGGTTGGCTTTAGATCCTCAGAACTCAGTAGCTAGGGTTACAGGTAAGAGCCACCAGGGTCCAACTTCCTCCCTTTTGTTGAATTCCTTCGAACTACTTAACTCTCAAGTACTAGAGTTTTAAGTTCATCATGAAGCAGGATTCTCAAGAAAAGTACCACCACCTCCTCTTCCTCCTCCTCCTCCTCCTCCTCTTTGCTTTGTGAGGTTATGTGACTGAAGCTTTACCACAGAATTGACCACAGTCATCCTAAATAGAAAGTTTAAGGTTGATTCTAAAGCACACAATTTGAAAGTGTAAAACAGGAAAAAGCTGAGTAGGCAAACTCAGTATCATTCTCCTGAAAAGTTGTTCAAAAGTACAACAGAAAACACAGAGAGAGAGAGAGAGAGAGAGAGAGAGAGAGAGAGAGAGAGAGAGAGAGAGAGAGAGAGAAGAACAGAGAAAGAAAAGAGAAAAGCTAGCGCCGGTGGCTCACACCTGTAATCCTAGCTACTGAGGAGGCTGAGATCTGAGGATCGTGATTCAAAGCCAGCCTGGGCAGAAAAGTCCGTGAGACTCTTATCTCCAATAAACCATTAGAAAACCAGAAGTGGTGCTGTGGCTCAAGTGGTAGAGCACTTGCCTTGAGCTGAAGAGCGCAGGGATAGCACCCAAGCCCAGAGTTCAAGCCCCATGACCGACAAAAAAAAAAGAAAAGAAAAGAAAAGAAAAAGAAAGTACAACAGAGAGGTATTCTGTCTTTAAAAGGAAAAAAAATAAAGAAGAAACCACCAGTGAGCTGAAAGATTTTCTTTTCATTGTTGATTTGTATTAACCAAAGATGTCTGTGTGATAGCTGGAACTTCTAAACAGGGTGAAGCTATACGTGTGTATACTTTCAGTAGCCCTGATTCCTGCCCAAAGCAAAAGGTGATGTTTGATTTATACACAAACTCTGTTAGCCATTACTATTCCTGTTAATCGGGAGGCTCATTGACTATTTTGAGGGAATAGGGCAGCTTTTTTTCTTTCTTTTTTATTTTATTTTATTTTTTGTCTGGGCTTGGACACCGTCTCTCAGCTCTTCATCTCACAGCTAGTGCTCTACTACTTGAGCCACAGCGCCACTTCTGGCTTTTTCTGCTTATGTGGTGCTGAGGAATCAAACCCAGGGCCTCATGTATGCAAGGCAAGCGCTCTACCACTGAACCACCTTCCCAGCCCCATCTTTCTTTTTTTTTCCTCTGTGGCTAGGTAGAGTGACCCCTGAGGTTTTCCCTGGTCCTCTGCTGGGTCTCAAGGCTCTTAGCATTAGGGTACCAGGAGCCCCTAATGGGTCACCCCCCATGTTCTGGACATGAAGGGGAGCCTCTGGAGGAAGTATCTGCTCATGGCGTTTTACTAGACAGAATAAGGTGTCTGGCAGAAGGATGGTGCTCAATGAGTATTTGATGAGTGGCAAATGTGGGGGCAAAGGGAGCACTGGTGGGGACTTGAGGAGAGACTGCAATGCTCTGCCTCTGGGGAGGTAAAGAGGCAGCGCTCTGGAGAGCTGACTTGTAGAGGACACACAGCCACGGGGTCACCGCACCGCTAGAGCAACAACTCGCTGTTCCGAGGCGGCATAGTGTAGGGTAGTCAGATCCAGAGGGATAGGAGAAGTGAGAAGCCAAGGAGAAATGCGAGGCTGTCAGTGACTGATAGAAGGCACCCTGTGGAGCACACAGGTGGCACCCTAGGAGACTTCTTTAGCTGGGTTTTGGAGGAAAAGTAAGTATTAGAGGAAAAAAGGAAACAGAAATGGAGGCAGAGAACAGCCAGAGGCACAGGCAGTTCCAGGCATTTCTGCAGGCCACAGAGGTTCCAGGTAAGGAGGAGGGAGGAGGGCGGGCAGGAGAGGGCTGCTGAGCTGGGTCATACAGTACCCAGGGGCAAGAACTCAAAAGGTGAGCAATCTGATCTTCATCCTGAAAGCCCCAGCAGCTTCAGAAGGGCTTTTTACCAGAAGCAGCAGGAATTAACTGGTGTGTCAGAGGATCTGACACAAAGGACAAAACTAGAGCCTGGCAGAGCGGCCAGGAGGCTGTCCCTGGGCCTCAGGTGAGGGCTGACAGTGTGCTAGTCCAGGTCAGGCAGGTGGAAGAAAAGGGTTTCTCCAACTTGTGGGGTTCCTAAGGTGGAGTCTGAGTGTCTGTAGCGGATCAGCCTTTTTCTCTGCCATCCTAAGTCAGCAGAGACAAACTGGGTTGGAATGGAAGCGATCCCTTGATTATAGTTTTACCTTTGTTCTTCCCTCTGCCTCAGGGCAAAGCCTCCTCCAAGTACTCCGAGACTATAAATAATAGGTTTACAGAAAAAGTGTGAAATATGTGAAATGTGAGTATTTGACTGAAAGTCAGATCAGAAGATGAGCCTAGAATGTGGAAACACCCCCGCCCCCCTTCTCAGAGAGGAAATTCCATCAAATTTTCCCATTCAGGTAGTCTCAATGGGGTAGGGGCAGTGGAGAAAGCATTTTGTCCTCTGGGACACATTTGGTAATCTCTGGGGACATTCCTGATTTTTAACACCCTGAGCAAACAAGGGGTGCCACTGGCATCTAGTGGGCAGAGAATGGGGGTGCTGCTAAAGATCCTGCAATACACAGACTAGCCTCCCCACCCCCTCAACAGAGAACTGTCCACCCCCAAACATGAACAGTTTTGAGAAGCCTTGTGCAGGGTGAACAAATAGGCAAGTAGAAGCTAAAATGATAAGGTTTGGACCCTTCTCCCCTGGCAGAGGGTTGCTTCTTCCTCCTCCCCCCCACCCCATTACTGGGGCTTGAATTCCCTTGGCTTTTTTGCTGGTGCTCTACCACTTGAGCCACACCTTTGGCTTCTGTGGACTTAATCTTAAATCCAGCTGACAAATATAATATCAAATGAGGAGAGAGACGAGGGCAGAGATTTCAAGGGGCTAGCACCACCCCGGCCCTCCACTAGTCTTCTTGAGATGCTGTTAGATTTGGTTTATGGAGTTATGAGAAGGGAAGTCAAGAAAGATGTCTACATTGTTATCTTCACCTGGGGGAAACCATGGTCCCATTTATTAAAAAAAGAAATTGGAGAAGGAAAAAAAAATAATGGAGGAAGAGGATATGGGGATGGAAATCAAGAATTCAACTTTCCATCAACCAAAATCCCCACCATGAGCTGTTTCCTGCCCAGTGAACACATGGTATAAGGAAATGCAGTATGTGGGGGAGTCAGGGCACAAGTGGGAATGTGGTACATCATCAGCCTCTCAGAAGCCCTGGTCTACTCGTCTTGCTGCTAAGCTCTCCTCTCTACCTTCATCCTGTTTCCCAGAACATATTCTGAATTGTTCCACTTCTGAGCTTAAGAGGCTTTGAAGATTTCCGATTCCTTATCAAGTGAAGTCTAAACACCTTGCACAGGGCCTGGAGCTCCACACCAACATTCTTGTGAAATACCTTGTGAACCACCCAGGTGCTTGGTGAGTCTGTTGGCTGAGTACACACTGCCCTCTGGTGGCCTAACATTCAACTGCTGCGTCTCCCCAAGGAGCAAGCTAAATCCCAAAGTACTTTGCTGTGGGGGAGCTCAGCCCTCAGCTGGACTCTTGGTCTGTGAAGTATGAGGCCACACCTACCTTTTGAAGCAGAGAGCAGTGAGGAGCTACAAGAAGAGTTTTCAGTCACTCCCCTGGGGCCAGGTGGCAATTAGAGGATGAGATGAGGCGGGGGGGGGGGGGGGGGGGGGGGGGGGGGGGGGGGGAGGGGGGGGGGGGGGGAGGGGGGGAGAAGGTCTGAGAGGCCAGGTGTGGCAGATGGCTTCTCACCTCTTGAATCTGTTCCTTCATCACCTTGATCTCATTCTCCCGAGGTTCTATTTGTTTCTTAAGTTCCTTTATTTTGTAGTCGAGCACAAACTTGAATTTTTCTAGTTCTTGGTTTTTCTTTTTCAGGTCATAAATTCGCTTTTCCTGGGGGTTGAAATACAGAAAGAAGTGGGAGCTATCACAAAGCCCTGGTGCTGAGTGGAATCCCTTTCAAGAGCTCAAGTCCTGAGGAGGCTGCCGATGGATGAGGCCACAGACTTCCCTCCACTGGGGAGACAGGCTGCAGCATGATTCCTTCCCTGCCGGGCTGCTCACGCACTCTTTCATACACAGGCTGTGGACAGCTGCATTCCCCCATCCCCACACTGTAGCCCTCCCACTGAGACTGTCCTGCTTCTCTGTTGGCAGTGGAAAGCAGTCCCTCCTCCCACTCACCCCCCCCCCTCCCCCCGCAAACCGCCTGCATATCTAGCTGGACTTAATACTTGTTTGTGACTCAAGCAAAGGGTTGCTTCCAGGCTACATCAGAAAGGTCAAGGAACTTTATGGAATACTTGGAGGCTATCTGCTCTGCAAGAAGTCCATACAGAACCCTCCAGACTGAAGCACACCTAGGGCTCCGGTGGAAACACCTGGCTGCACCCAGCTTCCCCACCATCCTTGCCACAGTGCCAGGCACTGTGTGAGAGAAGCCCCTTTGGATGTTGATCTCCCAGCTTCTAGCTGTTTGAGTCAGCCCTCAGTCTTCCCTGCTGAGGCCCCAGACATCAGGGATAGAGACAAGCCATTCCATTGTAACCCTGTTCAAATTCTTGATCCACAGAATCTGTTGGCCTAATAAGACAGCTGTTGCTTTTAATCTGAAAACTAAGTTTCCAGGTAATTCACTGTACACTAATAGTGATTGTGATATGGGTCAGTCTATTATCTGTTCATCAGTCATCCATCCATCCAACCATCTGTGTTTTACTGATTGAGGATCTTTTGCCATGTATTAGAATTCTGAATGTATGTATGACACAATTCCTGTTTTTTTTTTTTTTGGCCAGTCCTGGGGCTTGAACTCAGGGCCTGGACACTGTCCCTGAGCTTCTTTTGCTCAAGGTTAGCACTCTACCATTTGAACCACAGTGCCACTTCCAACCTTTTCTGTTTATGTGGTACTGAAGAATCCAACCCAGGGCTTCATGCATGCTAGGCAAGCACTCTACCACTAAGCCACATTCTCAGTCCCATACAATACCTGTTCTTAAGGAGAAAACACTAGTGGGAAGTAGATGTGTATATAATTATAACTTTGAGCTGTGAAGGAGGGAGCTTCAGAGGCCAGCTATATATTAAGGGTACTCAGAATAATTTGCCTGAGTGTTGGGGGAAATGGGAACTGAGGCTGGGGAGAGGGTGGAAGGCAATGAATGGTCTTGCATGTTGGTCTAAAGAGCTCAGAATTTATCCTGTAGGCCAAGAGTTAGCAAACTAAGCCCATGGGCCTCATTTGGTCTGCTGCCTATTTTTATAAATTTTGATCAGAACATAGCCAAGCTCATTTATTTATCATCATTTACTCATGGGTGGCTTCACATATGGTACCTAGAGTTGATTCGTTGAGACAGAGACCATATGGCCAGGAAAAGCTTAAAATGTTTACCGACTAGTCTTTTACAGGAAAGGTTTGTTGACCGCTGCTGTTGGCCAGGGGAAAGCACTGAAGAACTGTAAGGGGGAGAATGACATGGTTATATATTTGTACTCTGGCTGCTGTGGTGGTGGGGACAGGGGATGTGAAACAAGAAGGAAGGATGTTAGGAGACGGTACAATTTTCTAGGTGAGGAGGCCTTCGTCTGTCCTTGTCAATTCTCACTCTGAGAAACCAAAGAGAGCTTCAGGTTCATACCCAATCCTGTCTATGTGGAAATGGCACATAGCTGCTATTCCAGTGAAACCTTACAAGCTCTTCTTGATAGGTCTCATTCTCATTTTAAGGTGAGAATGGAAGGCTTGTAGAAGTTGCCCAATGAGTAATCCTTGGTAAATGGAGGGGGAGGGACCTATTTATCTAATGGTGGAGCTCAGACCACAGGGGAATCCTTGCCTGGCTAAGATACCAGATGCAGAGCTCATGATGAGGACACATGGAGTTAGGATTGGCTCAGGAGGATAGTTCATTCTGGAGAGTGAGGGGGTATACCTCAGAATGTGTATCTGTCTTGTGAGTGTTTTGTGGAAAGGGATCCTCCAAAGTGGTACTAGCTTCCTGGGGTACCCAATAGCTACAGAGCCAATTCTAGAGGAGTCTTTCTCTGGCCAAGAGGCCCATGTGAGCCATATAGTGTGTAAGCTCCCCCTGTCCATGGAGATGAGACACCTTGGGATACCTGGAATAGGGCAATATGAAGGCCCTTGGCATCAGCTGATTCAACCCAACCCATCCCTTACAAACTGTGATTTGGGACAGAATAGTTGACCTCCTGGAGCTCAGTTTCCTGAGCTGTTGGAAGAATTGAGTGTGATGTGTTGCAGTAATCACTCCAGTGCCATCTCCTCCATGAAGTCAAATACATGTGCTCCAAGAGACTGGAGGCCCTCTCTCCCAGGGCTGTGGGTGAGAGAGGCTGCAAGACAAACCCTCACCTTGTCTTGGATCGTCTCATCCCTTTCCTGGATCTCTCGTTTGAGGCCTAGCATGTCCTTCTCCAGAGACTTGATGACTCCTTGCAGTTTCACCTGTTCTGCCTTGAGAAGTTCAATGTCATTGGTTCGCTCTTCGATCTCCTTCTGGAGGCTGCTGAACTGAAGATACAAACAGCAACAGGAAAGACCACGGGGGTCTTTGAGCTTATCCACACTCCTTCCAAAGAGCTCCCTAACACTGGCCAGCTGCGGGCTGAATGCTTCTCCCCTGAGAATACCATGCACTCAACATCTTTGCATTTGGGTAGGGGTGGGGGGCATGCGGTGGGGGGGGGGGGGGGGAGAAATACATTCTGTTGTTGTTTTTAAGTCTGGGTCCCAAGATATAGCTCAAGATGGCCTCTCCTTGGTCCTTATGCCTCAGGCTCCCAGGTGCTAGGATTACAGGTATATGCCACTATGCCTGACTCTTTCTTGTTTGTTTGTGAGAGGGAATTTCTTGAGAATCTGAGATTGTTTCAGAATTTCCCAGGCCAAATGGATGACAGAGTATTCCGCCTGATGATTTCCAAGCCCCATTCCCAGCCTGTTCTGATAGCAAGCTTCTGAGCTGATTTTTCTGAGTAGACTCAGGATCTTCTATGTTCACACAGACCTTGGAAGGTTGTGATCAGTGGCCTACAAAGGTCACAGAGATTGGACCTTACTTAGTGAGCCATCTTAGCCATGTTTGAGAAGGGAAGGTATGATGTCCCCTAGACTCCATGGGGGTGTGATTTCTCGGCTTCTCTAGGGCTAGATAATTAACTATAGCAAATCTATGAGTCACAGCCATCATCAGTGAATAAAAAATGATCAGATTTACCTCTCTATCCAAGCTTATACTTCCATCCTCAGGAATTCAAACAGGATCCACCATGCCTGCAGGGTAGCTCCAGGCTAAGACATTGTCTATCTCAATCTCTTTCCCACTTCTGTCACTTTCTACTTCCCCAGAAGTGAAAGCCCAGAGCAACCAGCAGTGTGTGCCCTATGGAAAAGGATGCTGGGAAAAGGGATGAGGTCCCTTCAAAGGATGTAGCAGCAGGGATGTCTGCCTAAAGGCACACCTGGCACTGTTCTTATCCTAACCTGCTCACTGGAGGGGAGGACATGACTCTTGCTTGGCCACCCAGGGCTCTCTCTGCTTCCTGGGCCTGCCCCTGGATCTCTCTGGGGGAACAGCCCCCATACCTTCTTCCTCATGATGCCTGTTTCTCCTTTGAGCCTCAAGTTGGATTCCTTTTCATCCCGAAGCTTTTTCTCATACTTGGTTTTGATGTCCTGGATTTCTCTGTCTTCATCTTCTTCGATCTGTTTCTTGGTCTCTTCAAACTCCCGCAGCTGTTGCCTGACATCTTCTTGTGCCTGACAGGGGGTGGGGGTGGGGTAGATGTCATGAGGAGAGGGGCTCATGATGCTCCTGTGCTGGGGTAAGAGCAGCACGGAGGCCTTTCCTAGAGAATGGGGGAGGATCCCGATGACAGATGGACTCTTTCTTTGCCAGCCAGGCCTCAGGCTCTACCACTACAACCACCCTCTTACCAACACCTCCAGATCTTTACCAATACCCCGGATTCCTGTAATTTTCCTTCACAGAACTTGTGACAGATGTAATGATAACCTATATGTAATTTTATATCATAATTATGTTTTATACTTCATAAAATATTTTTATACATAAATAAAATTATATATAAATATAAAAATATAACATATATACTCACACTATATGTATGAATATATATGTAGTTTTGTGTGTGTGTGTGTATGTGTGTGTGTGTGCGTGTGTGTGTGTGTGTGTGTACACACCAGTACTGGAGCCTAGGCATGTCCTTTAGCTTTTTTATTCAAGGCTAGAGTTCTACCACTTGGATCATAGCTCTACTTCCAACTTAAAATTTTTTTTATTTTGGTGCTAGTCCTGGGGCTTAACCTCAGGATCTGGGCACCACTGTCCCTGAGGTTTTTGGCTCACCACTTGAGCCACAGCTCTACTTCTAGCTTTTTTGGTGGTTAATTGGAGATAAGTGTCTCATGGATTTTCCTGCCCAGGCTGGCTTTCAATAGAGCATGATCCTTAGATCATGCCACCAGCACTGGCTACCTCCAGCTTTTTTTGCTAGGAAATTGAAGATAAGAGGCTCAGAGACTTTCTTGCCTGATCCAGTTTCAAACCACATCCTTAGATCTCAGCCTCCTGAGTAATTAAGATTATAGGCGGGAGTCACCAGTATCCAGCTCTATTTTTGTTTTTATTTGTGAAGTTACTCATTGTCTCTCCCATTCTATGTAAGTTTCTTGAGAGCAGAAAGGTTTCATTTCATACTGTCCCCCTCCCCAATTGAATTCCCTATGGACAGCACATACTGGCAGACAGTAGCTACTTGATAAAGCATTGAATGACTCTTTAATTCTGCCCTCCCTCTTCTTCCCTCTGGAAAGGAAGACACAGAGCTTGGCTCCCAAAAGTACCTCTTCCAGAAGACTGGTTTTCTCCTGCAGCTTGGCCTCATAAAACTCGGTCAGCTCCTCCAGGGCTTGGCTCTTGGTCTCATCATTGTCTCGGAGTTGTTTTTCATATTCCTCCTGCATCCTCTGGGACTTGAGCTGCAGTTCCTGGTACTTCTCATATTCTAGAAGCAACTTCTGGTTGTTGCAACATTCTGAAGGGAAGAAAGAGGGCAAGTTGTTATAGTGGTTGAGCAGCATCAGCCCGAGGGGCACAAGGCTGGAGCTGTCACCTCCAGAGCCAAGTTCAAGGCCTGCCTGATCTCTCTCAGCGCTTGCCTCATCTCTATGCCTGCTCCTATTCCGCAGCTCTCCAGGTGGCCAAACTAAGTCCATGCCACTCAGGGCAGAAAGGCTTTTAGGAAGGTGTGGGAGAGGTAGCATTTGAAGGGTCATGGCCAAGAAAAATGTCCTGAGAATGCAAAATAGGAATTAGTACCTCCATGTTAAGGAAGAACAAAATGAACCTTGGTAAGGTTAAGTGACTTCTTAAAGCACCTAGCAAGTAAGTGCTGAGTCTAGGACCAAGGTGGTTCCCCATCTGAGCTCTAAACCTGACTTTCCATTACCTCCTACAGGCATGCAGTAGGTGTTTAATATGTACTTTGGGAATGAGTAAATAGGCAGGAATGAAAAAAACCACAGTGATTGGCAGGGGTCAACGTGGACTGTTTATAGGGTCGTGTTCCCTGGGACTTCTGTTGTCTGGGGGCTTGCACTCCTAGCCTGTCCCCTTCCAGGTCTCACAGGTCTTCCTTAGCCATGTGGCTTTCCATGGACTCACCCAGGTCTTGCAGTTCCCGGCTTTGTTTGTCTAGGAGTTCGTCGATATACTCATGGTGAGCTATATCCTGTCTTTCTTTTTCTGTTTTCAAAACCTAAAACACAGTCACATTTTTTTTTCATCTATGCATCTGCTCAAGGCACCCATGGGATGAGAACCAACTTCACAAGTCACACTTCGTAAATTTCACTCACAAAGATTTTTTTTTTCAGGTTTCTATTTCACACTAAACATTGTTCTATGGAGCAACAACATGATCATTTCTACACATATTATATTTCACCCCAAATGTTCTTGCACTTCCTGTTTGTACGCTCGCTATTAAACGGGTTTGTCCGTAATGAGTAGTTTTGGCATATCAAATAGATTTGGGGGTGAAAATGTAAGAATTCATTTGTGTCCTTGTAGGTATGATGTGACTTGCACTTTGCTTCTAACTCTTTAAGTATGTCAAAGTGTAAACTTCTAAGAAGAGCTTTTTCTGAATGACCAGGACACCTGTTGGCCAGGAGTTCTGGCCCAGTACCTAATTTTGTGCATATGAATGACCTCAGATAAATGCTTGCTGACTAAATGAATGACTTAGTAACATTGTGAGTCAGGGATTTTGCAGCCAAAGTCTCTGATCCATAGAGGTAACAAAACAGAAGAAACATCTCTTGAAAAAAAAAAAAAACTGGGCATGCAGCTGGTGGCTCAAGTTGTAATCCTACTTACTCAGGAGGCTGAGATCTGAGGATTGTGGTTCAAAGCCAACCCATGGAGGTAAGTCTGTGAAATTCTTATCTCCAATTATCACCAGAAAACTGGAAGTGGTTCAAAGTGATAGAGTACTAGCCTTGAGCAAAAACGCTCAGGGATAACACACAAGCTCTGAGTTCAAGCCCCCTGACCAACCAAAAACAAAAGAAAGAGAAAAAAACTGGGGTATTTGGATGAGAGGACAGGTGGATTAGTGGAGACAAAAAGAGGCTTGGAGACTCCTATACCAAATCTCACTATAAATAGGTTATAACAATTTGACCTGGGCTGGGAAGATGGCTCAGTGGTAGAGCACTTGCCTTGCATGCCTGAGGCCCTGGGTTCCATTCCTCAGCACCACATAAGCAAAAAGAAAAAAGCCGGAAGTGGCGCTGTGGCTCAAGTGGTAGAGCGCTAGCCTTGAGCTGAAGAGCTGAGGGACAGTGCCCAGGCCCAGAGTTCAGGCCCCACGACTGGACCCCCCCCCCCAAAAAAAAACAAAAAACAAAAACAATTTGACCTAAACTTTCTTTTTCTTTTAGTCATGGGGCTTGAACTCAGGGCCTGGATGCTGTCACTGAGCTTTTCAACTCAAGGCTAGTGCTCTACTACTTTGAGCCACAGTACCACTTCCAGTTTTTTGTTGGTTAATTAGAGAGAAGAGTCTCACAGACTTTCCTGACTGTACTGCTTCAAACCGTGATTCTCAGATCTCAGCTTCCTGAATAGCTAGGATTACAGGCATGAGCCACCAGCATCTGGCCTTGAAATCAATATTCTAAAGTCTTGTGTTTTTATTCTCCCTCCCTCTTTCTCTCTCTCCTTCTCTCCCTTTTTCATGATACTGGGATCAAACCCAGGGCATTGTATCACCAAGTTATTCTGTTTTTAAAAGAAGTTTTCCTTGATCACAAATGTTTGTAAGGGATTTGGAAATTTTGATAGAAAAATAGAAAGAAAATATAAATTATCCATAAACCTAGCTTTCCGGAGATAAATGCATTGTTATCTACTTTCTGTGTTTACTTGTTATACCTAATTAATACAACTCAAGAGGGAAAATTTTGTCCTCTGCTCTTTTCTACATAGCACCTTTCTGTATACATTTCTGACTGATTTGTCACTGAACATTATTCTACGCATCTCAATTGATCAGAGCCACCCTCAGAGTAGTTTGTTTATGACTTGTGGTTGTTCATTCAGGGTTCTCAGACTGACCTGGTTTTTAGTTTTTAAGGACTCCATTTCCTGAATGAACTTGTCTGTGAGATCCTTAATTTTCTCAGAATAATTCATGTCCTTTAGTCTAAGTTGATACTCATTCTCCATTTTTAACTCTTCTACACGGGTCTTTAGCTCCAACATAACCTGAGCCTGTGGAGGAAGGAAACAGAATCAGGAGTGTTCACAGTAGATGAATGAGAATATTTAAACCTGTGACTTTAATCTGGGGTCTACAAGGTCTCATGATTAAGCTGATTTTTTCTTTTTTTGTCCCAGGGCTTTTCTGATGGCATTGCACAGCGCAGGCTGCATTGGACGTGGACTGTTGTGATGATGAGTTGGGGAATGAGTGCATAGTCCAGGTGAGAGATGAGCTGAGGTAAGGGTGGAGGGGGGCAGAAAAGTGTATAATGACTGAAGAATGCACGTTTAGCAAAAGTGGGGCCAGACTGGGTGTGGGGTGGGAGGGAGGTGAGAGGATGATGGCTGGAGATGCCACCCCTGCCATTTACCTGAGGGTTGGGCATGGCTTGAACTCAGGCTCTTGAATGCTCAATTGTTGTTTTTTTTAAATTAATAGTGCTCTACCACTTGAGCCATACCTCTACTTCTGGCTTTTCACTGGTTAATTGGAGATAAGATTCTCACAGATTTTTTCTGCCTGGGCTGGCTTTGAGCTGTGATCTTCAGATCTCAGCCTCCTGAGTAGCCAGGATTACAGGTGAGCCACCAGGGCTGGGAAAGTATGACTTTTAGGGTCCTGGTAGAGAGGGAGCCAGGGAAGGAGATAGGCAAGGATCTGCAAGGAAGAATAAGAGGATTTACAGTGGATGATTAGCATGTGGTCTTGTGGATTCTGAGAGAGGAGGGAGGGTCAGGAAGTAGGCAGCATGTAGACCTCCAGCTTGGTAGCAGAGCTTTCATGCCTAATTGGTCACTGTGGTCAGGCCTTCAGTTCAGTCTTGCATCTCCTATTTGCCCTCTTGTCCTGCCATCCAGGAAGAAAAGAGAAGAAGCCAGCCATATTTGCCTGCCACAGGGACACAGGAAGCTGTCTGTCTGTCTGACTGTCTTTCTGTCTGTGTCTCTTCCCCCTCTCTTTGACTTTTATGTAGAAAGCTCTAGAGATCTCTAGAAGGGATCTTCAGGAAACACCAGTGGCCTATCATCCTGCTTTGTGACTGCTTTGCATTACTGTCCTGACAATTTCACCATCTCTCTCCCCACTCAACTGTGAGCATCCGCATCTGTCTTTTCAACTGTGTATACCTAATAGCTAGCTGATGATCTTCAATAAACACACTTAGGTTCTTGCTAAGTGGCAGTGAGTGAAGGGCTCTGGGATTCTCCATGAGTCAGACATGTAGCTTCTCTTGTAAGGAGTTCTGTCCAAAAGTGTATGCTCAAGTCTCTACAAAACACTTTTTGGAACATTTACTACATCAACGGGAAGGAGGTTCCCTTGGTACAGTATCTAAAAGAATGGGCTGTGGACTAAATCTGGATTTGAATTCTGGACCTACTACTTACCAGCACCGTGACTGGAAACCTGCTCTGGAAGGGGGAGGGGTTTGGAGAACAGTAACTTCTTTATAGAAGTGTTGGGAGATTTCAATCAGAATTACTTATGATTTAAGGTGCATGGTGCTTGCTTCCTGGCAAATGCTGGGTATTAGGAGTCAATGGTTTTGTTATTCAAAGGCATAGGTATAACGTTCAGGAATGCTTTCTAAATACTTCTTTTAAATTTGTTTTGTCTGTACTTGAGTTTCAACCCAGAGCCTCATGCTCACTAGGCAGGTGCTCTAACATTTAAGCCACAACCTCAGCCCATTATTTTACATTTATTTAATTAATTTGAAAATGCTAAAAAAAAAACACCAGCGGGGTTTACAGCTATATAAGCCAGGCAAAGGATATACCTCCCCCTAGACAGTGTTACCCCCCTCCCTTTTGTTTTTTTTAGGGACGGTTTCATGTACTAGCAATTATTATGTTTCACAGACACAACTGGGGTACTTGGTTGGTCGGTTCAATTTTGTAAATACTGAGTGGCTTCTATGTGAGTAGTAAGTGCTAGAAACTATGTGTCACACAAGGAGAACTGTATACATGGCTCCTGCTCTAGCACAGAGCTCAAGGCTTGAGCCACAGTTCCATTTCCTGCTTTTTTTGTTATTAATTGGAGATAAGAGTCTCACAGATTTTTCTTGCCCTGGCTGGCTCTGAACCATGATCCTCAGATCTCAGCCTCCTGAGGAGGTAGGATTATATAACCTCCCTTCTATTTGCTCACAGAAAATGCAGTGCAGGTCTCTCTCTCTCTCTCTCTCTCTCTCTCTCTCTCTCTCTCTCTTTGTCTTTCTGGGTGGTACTCAGGTTTGAACTGAGGGCTTCATAACCTCTCTTGCTCAGCTGTCACTCTACCACTGGTGGTACCCCTCCAGTCTGACTTTTTACTGGTTAACTGGAGATAAGAGTCTCATAGACATTTCTGCCTGGATGGGCTTTGAACCATGATCTTTAGGTCTCAGGCTCCTGAGTAACTGGGACTGCAGATGTGAGCCACTGACACCCGGTGATGTCTGTTTCATTCTTGCCTGGGACTACATCTTTCTCACTGTGAGGCTGAGCCCGAGGTGGCTAGGCTAGGCCTCACTCTTAAGATATTAATAAATACACCAGAAGATCGAGAGTTTTAAAAACGTAGGCCATTTTCAAGCGTCTAGTTGAGAGGCTCGTGAGATAGAAAGACGGTGGCAGAGGATGGAGGACAGCTTGACGGTGTGCATGCAGCGTGCGGGCAGTCATGGTGGCGGCAGGGCAGTCAGGCGGCAGGGCAGGCAACAGCCAGGCTTGCAGAGGACCCGAGATGCTCCTCCTTTAGGGAAGCTGAATGCAGTCTGGAAAGGAATTTGCACATCCCTCTTCCCTAGAGTTGGTTCTTACCTTCTCCTCCATGTCTGTTTTAGTCACGAGCACCTCTTCAGCAAAGCCCACCTCCCTCTCTCGCTTGATTCCCCGGCCGTCCTTATCATAGACCTTCCAAGTGAACAGGCAGCCGTCCTCTGCAACTGTCAGCAGGAATTGATCATCAAAGGTCAGCGACATCTGTTAAAAAAAAAAAAAAGGGCACAGCAAGGAAGCTTTCTGGGGCCATGTATGACGGGCTGAGCTGGCTGTGGGGCAAATGTGCATGTTACTGCTTGTGTGGGCTCTTGCCTGTCTAGCAGAGAATCTGACAGAAGCACCTTGGTATAGCCATGAGTATCTTCATTCTTACACATGAATTTAAGGGAGCCAGTGTGTGGGGAGAAAAAAAATGCCAGGCCGACTCAAAGCAGGGGTTAGTCAGAAACTTGGCTTCTTCTTCTTGTTGTTGTTTTTCTTTCTTTCTTTCTTTTCTGGCAGTACTGGGGATTGAAATCTTCCTTCAGGGCCTTATGCTTGATAGGCTGGGACTGTACCACTTGAGCCAAAATGACCGCCAGTCATTTTGTAATTTTATTTTGTTTCTCAGATAGTGTCTCCTGCTTTTGCCCAGGGGGCCAGTGTTGGACTGCAGTCTTCCTACTTCTATATCCTGAGTATCTGTGATTCACGGATGTGCTTTATCATGCGTGGCTTAATAGAGTCTTGCTCACTTCTGCCAAGGCTGACTTTGATCTTCCTATCTCTACCTCACAAGTAGCTGGGATTACAGGCATGTACCATCATGCCTGGCTCCTGGTTTCCTGATGGCATCATCTATAGAGTTATAGCTAAGACTTCATTCTTCATTATGCCTCTTTTTGCCAGTATGTTTCTCATTACTATCTTAAGTATTTGCCTTGGGGTGCAATCTTTACTGTGCAAATAGAAGTAAGGATAGATTGTTTAGTGACTATTTTAGCTATGTATTTGTCTTTTGCCATGTTTTGGAGCAGGGAAGATCATTCCTTTGTCTTGGTGGGTTTGATTTTAGTAATCTTGTATTTCTTAGCTCTGGCTTTTTGGTATCTCTGTTGATCAAATCCATAGTTTTGAAAGGTAGAGCTGGCTTTTGACCTCCTGACTCCTAGTGTGCTTTCTTTACTTCATAGCCTTAAAGACAGTTCACTTCTTTAAACTCCTGATTTTCTGGTGTGTGTATGCAAGCCCCATAAGACTGAGAGCCACAGGGAGGGGTTACTTGGTCTCTTGAAAGAATGAGACAGAAGGCCCCACAGGATTCCAACTCTCCAAACTCAATAATGAATGAACCACTAACAGTCCAGAGTAGTCAAAAGATATGAAGACATGTCACTGATGAAGACATAGAGATGGCCCAGTGTGTATGCAAAAGAAAGACATCCAACAATCTTAGTCACTAAGGAAATTAAAGACCAGGGTGAGAAACCACTGCACAGCTATTAGATCAGCTAAAATACAAAACAGTGATAATACCAGGTACTGGTGATTATGCAGAGAAACTGGGTCTCTTCTGTGGTGCTGGTGGAGAAGTTTAATAGAAGTTTAAGCTGCTAGTTTCTTAGAAAATTGAGCATCCACTTACATATATGATTGAGCAATTACACTCCTGGGCATTTGCCCCAGAGAATTGCCAATTTTCATACAAATGAAAACCTATACATGATTGTTTATAGCAGCTTTATTTGTAGTAGTAAAACTAGGAAAAAATACAAGGATTAGGGGATTTGTTTAGCAGACTACTGTGGAATATTACTCATCCATGACAAGAATAAACTTAATAAACAAAGCAACTTGAGTAGAGGTGAAAGAGAATTATTCCCAGTGAGAATACCATGTGGCTTTTAACTGGCAACACTAAAGAAATGGAGATTGAGGGGATGGTTGCCAGGGTTAGGGATGGTGGGGGGAAGTGGGCATGACACAGTAGGGTAGCATGATGGGTATGCTGGTGGTAATATTTCTGTCTCTCGATGGTGGTAGAGGTCAATGAACTATACATGTGATAAAATGTCATAGGTTTACACACAAGCAGTGTACCAGTGTCAGTTTTCTTGTTGATATTGTACTTGAATCTGATGTAATTCTCTTGACTCCTATGTAATTCTTGAGTCTGATGGAATTCTTGGGTGCAAAGTACACAAGAAGTTTATGCTGTCTTTAAAATTCCCTGTGACTCTTAATTATCTCAAAATGACAAGTTAAGGAAGAACTATAGAAAATGTCTCTCTGCAATCAGTAGTATGAATCATACTTGTTAAAAATGGTAGTACAGCCAGGCACTGGTGGCTCATGCGTATAATCCTAGCTACTCAGGAGGCTAAGATCTGAGAATCACAGTTCAAAGCCAGCAAGGGCAGGAAAGTCCATGATATTCTTATCTCTAATACACCACCAGGAAACTGGAAGTGGCACTGTGGCTCAAGTAGTAGGGCACTAACCTTGAGCTGAAGACCTAGGGACAGGGCCCAGGCCCAGAGTTTCAGCCCCACAACTGACCAGAAATAAATAAAATAAAAATGGTAGTAACAGTACTCTTTCATTCAGGACTTCTGTCTCTGTCTAGGAACTTCATCTCAGGAAATAATCAAAGATGCATAAAAACATTTGCATATTCATTCTGGTTGGAAGAGAAGGCTTAATGAGGTATGGTCATCATATGACAGGACTTTCATGCCTCTGAGGAATATCTAATTATGTGGAAAAATTCTCACAATAGAGTTAATTTAAAAAAAGAACAGGTCACAAAAATGTAGGCATGTAGTATGGTATTAATTTTATTTCAAACACATACATAGTATATATGAAAGGGAAAGAGGAAATGCATCAAAATATTAATGATGATGCTACTAAGATGATTTTTAGTTTGGAAACAAGCATGTGTTGCTTCTATGATAAGTACGATCTTATTCGTGAGACTTAGTAGATCTGAAAGGAACATGGGAAATATAGTGTAGCAATTTCCTTTAGACCCAAGGCCCAGGCTGCACACAGAAATATTTCATTTTATAATGAAAAATCTTATCTCCATAAGGAGAATGCCTCTGGGCAAGCCAATAAAAGAGTTTGAACTGAATTTGAAACCTTGGGTGTTTGTATAACTCAGTCTGAAATAAGACTGAGGGAAGAGGAGAGGAGACACATATTTTCCCAATACCTGTGTTTCAGAGGTTCTTTGAATGTAGATGGTACATTTTTATTTACTGTGAGTAATCTTTATTATTGGATATAATTTGTTTTGTGCTAGTACTGAACTTAGGGCCTGGACACTGACCCTTAGCTTTTTCACTCAAGGCTGGTGCTCCACCACTTCCAGTTTTTTGCTGGTTAATTGGAGATAAGAGTCTCATGGACTTTCATGCCTAGGCTGGCGTTGAACCATGATCCTCAGATCTCAGGCACCTCAGTCTCTAAGTATCTGGCTTGGCTATGATTTCTTGTCAATCATTTCTCATGCTACAGAATCCTTTCTATTCACTTTTTGTTGTAGCAAAATACACATAATGTAAAATGGACCATCTTAAGCACTTTAGGTACACAGTTCAGTGCTACAAACTACATCTGGCATATGTAGCCATTATCATCATCCATCTCTATGGTTTTTTGTCTTGTAAAGCCAAAAGTCTATATCCATTACACAATCATTCCCATCATTCCTCCTTCCTCTAGCCCATGGCAACCAGCATCCTACTTTGTCACTATGATTTTGAGGACTCCTAAGCTCTTATAAAAGTGGAATCACTCCTCTTATTTGCCTTTTTATGATTTGCTTCTTTCATTTAATACAATATCCTCAGGGTTCATGTTGTAGTATATTTCAGAATCCCTTCCTAAGACTGAATACTATTCCATTACATGAATCTACCATATCTTGCTTATCCACTCACCTGTCTAATGTCACTTGAGTTGTTTTTCACATTTTCACTATTAAACATAGAGGAGGAAATACAAGGATTAATTCACAAGTGTGTGCTCACTTTCTCCAGGAGTGGCTTTCTAGATCCTTTGGGGATCTAGAAAGGGAGGGGATAATCTCTTGGCTAACCATGTGGCATGCTGGTGACCTAGGTGGGACCCCTACAGTACCCATCAAACGCCTCATTGTCATGCATGACCTTGTTGGCAACAACCTTGACCATAACCTCTTATTTGTATGTTTATTTCCTAGAATCAAAACTAAAAGTAGTTGAGATAAAGAATCCTAATGGCCAACAGATGTGTAGGAATTGGTTAGTAGACGAATGAATAAGGGCAGCAGACACTGGGAAGGAGATTGAGGTGGAGGGGTGAGAAGGTATGTCAGGCAGGGCCTGGCCACTGAGGAGAGGGGGCCCCTCTTACCTTGGTGATAGGGCCAGCATGTGCCTGATACTCGTTGAATTCTTTCTGCACAGGCAGAGGATACTTCATGGCACGGATGGTTCCCACTGAGGTACCCACAAACATCATGCGCCCGGAATGTGAGATGATAATAGCTGTGTAGATGACGTCAAATGCTGACATTTCTCGAAGGACCTGGAACACATAGAGCTCTGTTTAGAGTAAGAGTCCACGCTATGTCTCTAGATTCTTGGCATCATTTGCTCCCTCTCCTCCACTAGCATCCTTAGGGGTCAGTGTGTGCATGTGTGCATGTGTGTGCGCCTCGTGTATGTGCTGGTACTGGGGTTTGAACTTAGGATCTCACAGTCTTGCTTGGCTTTTGCATTCAAGGTTGGAGCTCTACCACTTGAGCCTTAGCTCCAGGCTCTACTTCCAGATTTTTGGTGGTTAGTTAGAGATAAAGAATCTCACTGACTTTTCTGCCTCAGCTGACTTGAAACTGTGATCCTTAAATCCCTTAGATCTCAGCCTCCTGAGTAGCTATGGTTACAGCATGAGTCACAAGCACTTGGTTCAAGTTTTTTTTTTTAAGATTTTTCTTCTATTCTTATAGTGTTTGATGTAGTGCCTAACACATAAAAGGCTAAATACTTCTTGATGCTTGACTGGCAAGGAGTCAAGAAAAATGCTAGTGACTGGAAGACTATTTAGTGCTTACTATGTGCCAATCATGGCTCTCAAATCATTTCTACGTGGTAACTCACCAGTAATCATAACCTCCCTACCAGGGAGCCAAGTTCTGTGTGTTTTAAAGATGATGCAACACATGAGTCACAGAGATGGAAAGTAGCTTGCTCACCCCATTCACCTGAGGGGCAGTCTGGCTCCAGCTATGTTGTCACACTTCTCAATGTGAGAATGGGATTCAGATCTTAACTTTATTCAGGAAACACTGATTTCTGCCCATTATATAAACAGCCGTATGCTCAGGAAACTCATTCATTCCTTCTCCCCTGAATGTACTCATTCACCCCTCCCCCCAGCCTGCATGCTTACTGGAGGGAATTTTGTTGTGGGCCATGCAATCTGTCAGCTAGAAGCCATGTCAAAGGGACTGAAACATAGCCCTGCCCTAAGGTAGCATTATTCTGGTCCAGCTCTGTAAAAGCTACCACAGAATCAGGACCAGACTTCCTCTGTGTGTAAAGGAGAATCACAATGTTCTAAGTGGGTTCTAACCACGCCTCAGGCTGTTCTGTGGCTGTGGTAGACATGACAAGGGCTGAGGAGACCCGGGAGGAGCTGTGGCTGGGCTCTTGGAGAGCGACACAAGTCACATTTGTCTGAATTGTCTTTGCTGAGCTCTTCTCTCTGCTCTTCATTACATGAAATGAGAATGTGGAATTTCTCAAATTTTAGATGTTACAGTTTTCAAAAGGACCTGCTGTCATGTCTAGGTGACAACAGATAACTCTAGCTGTATTTTTACTTCTGCTAAGTGCAGACCAAAGGCAAGGGTGCAGCGTAGAGGTACAGCTGATCTCCATGCCTGGAGGGCAGAAGGGAAGCGCCAGACAACAAGCATAATGGAAAGGGAAAAGGACTCTACAATTTGATCCAGCCAGAAGAGCAACAGGCAGGAAGTTCAGGAAGTGATCAGAATTGAGTGGATCCAACAGGAAGAGTAGCCAGATGCTCTCCCAGGAGGAAGGAGCCTTCCTTTTTTTTATATACATTCTCTCCTTTCCTTTTTTTTAAAGTCCAAGACTGGGTCTTGAGCTCAGTACCTACTGCTTTTGCTCATTGGCTAGCACTCTACCAATTGAGACACTTCGGTAACCCACATTATGCTTTCTTGTGTACGCTGTCTTCTGTAGACTCCAGAGGTGGGACAGGTGGAGACTCACCGAAGAATCTGCAATCTCCTTGAGGGTCTGGTCTGATCCAACAGCAAAGATAATTTTGCCATCAGGGGAGATGGTCACAGAGTTGTAGCTGCAGGACTTGAGCACGCATTCTGTCTCTCTCTTTCCTGTAGACAGATTCCATTCATACACAGCACCATCTGTGCCAGCAGAAATCAGCTTGCTGTCATCTGTATTCCATACAACAGACCGAATCTATAGGGAATAAAGACATAGCCAGATAAGAGTGCACATGTGCGCGCGCGCGCGCGCGCGCGCACACACACACACACACACACACACATACACACATACACCATGCACATGCTCCAAAGTGAACTCCAACACGAACTCTCAGGGGCTCTATTAGACTAGGGCTGAATGTCCCTTCCTGATAGAGACTTATCTGAAAGCACAAAACATGGCTCCTTGGAATTGTTAACATTCTGTTTTCTGAGATGCTTGTAAATACTGAAATCCAATCACTCTCACCTTTTTCACTTTATAAAGATGAGACTGAATATGAGTTTAAAGGTTGTGACCAATTATTGCTATATTACCATGACCAGGATCCAAAATACTCTCATTAATCGTGTAGATATATACAAGTAGTTCCTTAGCATCTCCATCTTTGACCCCTTCCCTGTACTCTTCAGTCTGCAACCAAGGTAATCTTTTAAATATGGTCATACCTTTTCCTTTCCTAGACATTCTTGATGCCTTTGAGGAACAAGGGAGTTAAAGGCATAGAACCAGATTAAAGGCATAGAACAAGATTCCATGCACTTGGACTCCCGTAAGCCTCCCAGTCCCATCTCATCCCATGCTTTATCCCAACAGCTGTGATGCAACCCCACAGACTCTTCAGTTCCTTTGACACTTCCTGAAGTCTCTTAGCTTTTTTTTTTTTTTTTGGTGTGTGTATGCGTGCATGGGTGTGTGTGTGTGTGTGCCACTCCTAGACTTGAATCAGGGCCTGGGCATTGTCCCTGGGCTAGCACTCCACCACTTGAACAATAGCTCTATTTCTAGCATTTCATTGGTAAATTGGAGACAAGAGTCTCACAGACTTTCCTGCCCAGTCTTGCTTTGAACCATGATCCTCCGATCTCAGCCTCCTTAGAAGCTAGGATTAAAGACGTGTGCCACTGGTGCTTGGCAGTTGGTTTTTAAATCCTTATCTACAATGACTCTCACCACTGGATCTGGTTAATTCCTACTCAGCCTTCTAGGACCAAGCCTTTGCAAGCATCCCAGCCTCCTCCTCATTTCCTTTCAAAATGAATGATTGGTTTTATGTTTCTCTTCCCATTGGCAGTGAACCTTATGAAGACAGGAATTCCTTCTTTGGTCACTTGTATTGCATGGGTTAGCACAGTGACTGCATCTAAGCCCTTTATTTCCCTGGATGCTAGTCACTCACGTACCTTCCCTGTGTGTCCTTTCAGGTTTGTGATGTTCTCTAGGCTCGTGGTGGTAAAAATGTGAATGACATTTCCACTGACTGCAGCAAACAGGTGACCTCCATTGCTAAAGGCACACTACAGGGAAACACAATGGGAGCAAGCAAGAAGAAGTGAGCAATCTAACTGGAGACTGGAGTCAAGAGTGGCTATTCTGGAAGAGTTCATTCAGGTTGGAACTCCATGTGAAGACAGGAGTGGGGCTGATATTCTGTAGCTTGTAACAGCTAAGATGCTACAGATCCTGCCCTGCCCTACTCTGTAATCATTACACAGCTTAGACTTTGTATGGTAGACACCCTGTTTCGAAGGGGGAAGGTGACTCCAGAAATCAGTGTCTTGTTCATTCAAGTTATTTTGTGGGGAGGGAGAACCTGGATGATTGTCTATTGCCTCTGTTGAGGCTTAGTTTTCCTGGCTCTTCCTATTTCTACTCTCATTTTCCCAGCTGGAACTGTCATTTGGAGTTTACTCTGTGTGTATGTGTGTGCGTGTGCATGCATGCACATGCATGTGCTCTTACTGAGTCTTGAACTCAGGGCCTTGGGCTCTTGCTTGGATTTTTTTCTCAAGGCTGGCGCTCTACCATTTGATCCATACCTCAATATCCATACCTGGATTTTGCTGGTTAATGTAAGATAAGAGTCTCAAAGGGCTGTGTTGGCTTTGAGCTGTGATCCTCAGATCTCAGCTTCCCAAGTAGCTAGGATTACAGGCTTGAGCCATTGGTGCCTGGCTCAGGGATTCCTTTTCTTCTTCAATAATTGTTAAGATACCATGATGACAGAGTTGACCTGTCTCTCAAGTAAGATTTAACAAATTTTTAGGTCCAGTGAAAGATTTGGCTGGCATAAGAAAACAGGGATAAAACCAAATATTCTATGAGTTCAGCAGGAGATGTATTTGATTTTTTTTTAAGTCACTGAAATTTTATGAGTCAGACTTTGGCTCCACCTTCCCAGTTTGTGTTAGCTTTTTTTTTTTTTTTTCTGTCGGTCATGGGGCTTGAATTCTGGGCCTAGGTGCTGTCCCTCAGCTCTTCAGCTCAAGGCGAGCGCTCTACCACTTGAGCTACAGCGCCACTTCCGGTTTTCTGGTGGTTTATTGGAGATAGGAGTCTCACAGTCTTTCCTGCCCGGGCTGGCTTTGAACCGAGATCCTCAGATCTCAGCCTCCTGAGTAGCTAGGATTACAGGCGTGAGCCACCAGCGCCCGGCTTGTGTTAGTTTTTGATATTCCAACCTTGGATTTCCAAGAGAATGGACCTTTATCTGTATTAGTTTTTACCTCTTTGCATCCTCTCACAGAGTATTCTTTGAAAGATCGTATATCATCAATGAGTAGATTCATAAGGCGAAGTTTGTCAGCAAACCCTACTACAATGAAGTGCCCAGAAGGGTGAAGGCTGATTGTATAGGCCTCTTCTTGGTATTCCTTAAATAGTTCCAGAGTACTATGAAAAAAATAGTTATTGAATTGTAAGTCAAAAATTGCTTAACTATTTCAAGCCCTCAACTGTATTGGGTATATACTGTTAATACAGCATTTGACATACTTCATTTCTTACAATTATTTGTTCCTCTTTTCTAGATTCTGGTTACTTGAGGATTCTTGCTTAGCACTTGAAGATAATGTTCAGTTAATAAAGAAACTGTTCAAGCCAGGCATTGGTGGCTTACATCTGTAATCCTAGCTACTCAGGAGGCTGAGATCTAAGGATAGTAGTTCAAAGCCAGCCTGGACAGGAAAGTTTGTGAGATTCTTTACTCCAATTAACCACCAGAAAACTGGAAGTGGTGCTGTGGCTGAAAGTGGTAGAGGGATAGCCTTGAGCATAAGAGCTCAGGGAGAGCACCCAGGGCCCAAGTTCAAGCCCCACAACCACCACCACTACCAATGAAAAAAAAGAAGGAAAGGAAGAAAAAAAGATAGGAAGGGGCTGGGAAGGTTGGTCAGTGGTAGAGTGCTTGCCTTGCATGCATGAGGCCCTGGGTTCAATTCCTCAGTACCACATAAGCAGAAAAAAAAAGCCGAAGTGGCTCTGTGGCTTGAGTGGTAGAGTGCTAGCCTTGAGCTGAAGAGCTGAGGGACAGTGCCCAGGCCCAGAGTCCAGGTTCCATGACCTACCAAAAAAAAAAAAGAAGATAGGAAGAAAGAAAGAAAGGAAGGAATGAATAGATGAAGGAAGGAAGAAAGGAAAGAAGGAAGGAAAGAAGGGAAAGAAAGAAAGAGAAAAGAAAAGGAAGAAATAACAAAAGAAAGTGGTCAAGTGTTGTATAATGACTTTGAAGATACTGCTTTGATGAGATTCCAACACTCATAAGTATTGTTCTCCTCCCCCATCAGCCCTAGCAGTTGTATGTAAGAATAAAGAAATAGTTTAAGTTATGCCAGAAGAATATAATCACTAGGGTGTTTGGAGAAGGAAAAAGAGGAGTAGTAGTAAAAGAACTTGGAAAATCCATGAAGTAAAAACCACATCTGGGGAAAATGAGCAAAGAGGAGATGCGGAGGGACAGTGGAACTTATGTAAAAAAAGGTGAAATATTAAGGTATTACTTTTATGTCCCTAGTGTCTAGCATAATGTCTGGTGTGTAGTAAGCACTTAACAAACCAGAGTAATTTCCTAGCCCATGCAAGAGTAAGAAACAGGTGACTAACTTGATTTAAAAAACCAAAATGAATTTTTTAACTGAAAGCTTCAAAGTAATTAAATTGTATAACTCTCTAATTAAATCAATTTACATAAACAAATTTACCAACTGAAATTCTTCATACTACAGCAGCAAAGCCTTTGCGTCCTTACTTTGATTCATAGTTCCAGATGCGAACGGATCGATCCAGGGAACAGGTGGCAATGAGGGGTTTGCGGATGCAGGTAGACAGACTTGTAATGGATGCTGAGTGTAATGGGTACATTAGGTACTCGAAGTGAGCAGGCTCCCCCTGGAGAAATCATACAGAATGAAGACCCAGCAGGGTGAGCAAAAGGCTGGCTATGTACCTGAGCTCTAATTAGTACCTGGGAGCATTAATTCGCCTTTATGTATGGAAATCAGGCCATGGCAAATTGTCTTAAATGGTATGCAGATTTTCCTGTGGTGCTATTATTTTAAAACATTATTTTAATGGCAATTAAATATTTTGTTCTATGAATATTCTAGAAGTGAATTTAACCATTGTGGTACTATTTAAACATTTTAGTGGCTCCCAATTTTTGTTATTAATGAATAATACAAGACTAGATATCCTTCTATATAGGCATATATCTCTCTGATCACTTCCTTAGAATGCATTTCTAAAGGTGGAATGCTGGTAAAATGGTATGAATAATTTTAAGTATGTCAGTAAGTAATGCCAAATTTGTCTCTGAAGAGAAAGAACTAATTATTTTACCACCAGCAGCAAACAAGAATAAGTGGATGATTTTAAATTTAAAGAAATCCTATTGTGGTGGCATGTAGGTATTCCAGGTGTCTGTCATCAGAGGCAGTATCACTGGGACATCTAAATGAGGTGTGAGGGTTGGAAAATTTAATGAAGCATATACATGTTAGAAGTATTCATAAGACAAGACAAAGGCTGGGATGAGAATTTCTTCAAATTCTGGCTCTCTTCCCTTATAAACTTACATGTACCCACTCCTCTTTCGGCATATTGTAGAGAAAGAGGCAGGCATGGATGACTGCATTCTTCTCCATTTGTTGCTTCTTCTTTTCCCAACATTTTCAACATCCTTGCCTCTATTATCACATCACTATCTTTCTTGGGCTTGGAGGATTGGAATCTAGGCCTTGCTAGGCAAGCACTCTACTACTTGAGCTGCATTTCCTGTCCTCCTATTAGCTTTTAAATACATTGAAATTTTTCTTGTCTTAAAAAATAAAGCACTTCAGGGCTGGGAAGGTGGCTCAGTGGTAGAGCGCTTGCCTTGCATGCCTGAGGCCCTGGGTTCGATTCCTCAGCACCACATAAGCAAAAAGAAAAAAGCTGAAAGTGGCACTGTGGCTCAAGCTGAAGAGCTGAAGGACAGTGCCCAGGCCCAGAGTTCAGGCCCCACAACTGGACCCCTCCCCCCAAAAAAATAAAGCACTTCAGAAGTGGTGCTGTGGCTCAAGTGGTAGAATGCTAGCCTTGAGCTGAAGAGCTGAAAGATGGCACCCACGCACAGATTTCTAGCCCCACAAATGACAAAAGAAAGAGAAAGAAAGAAAGAAAAGAAAGAAAGAAAGAAGGAAAGGAAGAAAGAAAGAAAAAAGTACTTAGGGCTGGGAATGTGGCTTAGAGTGCTTGCATAGCATATATGAAGTTCTGGGTTCCATTCCTCAGTACGACATAAACAGAAAAATCCAGAAGTGGCACTGTGGCTCAAGTGGCAGAGTACTAGCTTTGAACAAAACTGGAAAAAAAGAAGAGAAAAAAAGCACTTTTTCTTCCCACTCTTCTCTGCACAATATGCTTTTCTTGTTGAGATATGGGTCCTGTGAACTTTTTCCAAGGGATGGCCTCAAACAATGCTCCTCCAAATCTTGGCCTCCTGAGTATCTACCTAGTTCTTTATATCTGAGAAGTGTTTGTCATCAAAAGCAGTGGTCTATTCTGTGTGCCATCCATAAATAGATATCATGATAACAATGCTGAAAGGCTTTATTTTCTCAAGGAGAAAATCTTGAGAGCATCAAAAGAAAAATCACTAGTCACTTATAAGAGAACTCTGATTAGTTAGAAGGCAATTCCAGTAAGATTAACAGCAGACTTCTCAGCAAAGACTATGGGATTATAAGGGGATGGAATTATATGTGAAACTATTCAAAGAAGAAAAAGATCAACTTAAAATACTGTATAGCTAGAAAAACTATCAAAATGAAGGTAAAATTAAAAATTCCTGACAAAGACCGAAAAAATTTGTTCTTAGTTGTATCAGTCAGCTTTGCATCACAGTAAGAAATCCCTGAGAAAATCAACTTATAGAGTTATATAGACAATGATCTGTTGTCCTCATTGTTTTTAAGTTTGTGTGAGGCAGCCCATTACAATGGGAGCAGGTGTTGGTGCACACATCACATGGAGGGCACATCAGTGACTTGAAGACCTCCTATTAGGCTCATTCTTCTAAAGGTTTTACAATCTTCCAACAGTGCCATAGTCTAGAGACCAAGTTTTTAACATATGGACCTTGGGGTGACATTGTGGATCCAAACAATAGCACTGGCAGACAGAAAACACTAGAGAAAATCCTTCAGGTTGGAAGCAAGTGACCTCAGACAGTAATTCAAACCCACACAAAAAAATAAGGAGCACCAGTAAAAGTAATTAGCTAATTATAAGGACAATATAACTTCATGTTTCTTTTTTTTCTATTTTAACTGGCTTAAAATTAGTTATATATGTATGTATATGTTGTTGGACCCATAGCATGTAGAATAGCAATGTATCTGCCAATAAAAGCACACAAATGGCTGTATTAGACTAATGAAATATGGATAATGGTAACTGAACCCACAGAAACAAATGAAAAGAACAAAAGTGGTAAATAAGTTTAGTGTTAAAAGGCTATAAATATGTATTTATTCCTCAGTCTTCCCTTGACTTCTTTTAAAAATACAAATTACATACCAAGTAATTTTAACAATATACTGTTGCAGGTTTGTAACACTTATAGATATAATACAAATAAACAGTAATACCGTAAAAGGAGAAAAAGTAAAGGAGTTAGAAGTTAACATTCTATATTTTACTAGTATCAAATTGGCCTAGGTCTAAATCTGATTATGACATGTCAAAATGTATATAAAGAGTGCCATGAAATAACTAAAATATATAGTGAAGAATAATCAGAAATTATCAGAAAAAATCAGAAATTAAGTGCTACATTAAAAATTTGCTTAGCTGAATGCCAGTGGTTCATGCTTATAATCCTACCTACTCAGGAGGTTGAGATCTGAGGATTGTGGTTTGAAGCCAGCCCAGGCAATTAAGTCTGACTCTTATCTCCAATTAATCACAGAAAGAGCAGAAAGAGCTGTGGCTCAAGTGGTAGAATGCTAGCCTTGAGCAAAATGAGCTCAGTCAGTGACAATGCCCAGGCCTCAGGACTGGAAAAACAAATATGCCTAGTATGAAAGATAAATAAACAAGAGCAACAAACCCATGACACACATAGAAAACAAAAGGTAAATTACAAGGCAGACATAGAGGGAAATGCAAAAAAGCCAACAACAATAAAAAACAAAAACAGGAAGACATAAACTCAGGTAATCAAACATTAACATTAAAGCTCATCTCTCCCACTGGATTATCCTGCAGTCCTAAATCTTGTTTATAATCCTTTCATACTTAATGTGGCAGATAAGTGCTTGCTTAGGATTGGGGAGGGGAGGGAGGAAGGTAGAGATACAATAATAAATAGTGTAGGCTTATTCTGAGGTGATGAATATGTTCTAAAAATAACTCAATAAAGCAATTGTAAAAACATTTTAAAGAAGAATATGTTAAAATTTCCTGTAATGATGGTAGATGATCTATTTTCCTTGTTATTCCATCAGATGTTTTATAACCATACCATAAGGTGCCTGTGGATTTAACATAATAATATGTTGCTGATGAAGTAAACAATGTAGATAATTAGCTTCATTTTTTATGGTGCTTTTTTTGTTGCAATGTCTATAGTATATTTAGGCCAACTTCTTGTGTTATTTTAAAACAACACAAAAATCAACACTAAAAATTTTAATATATACATTTTTGTGCTAATGAGCAAATATAGCAGTAGATTAAATTCCTTGAAGTGTGATTTCTGGTAAAAGGCTATGCTAAATTAAACAGCATCAATGTGTCCTCCAAAGGCAGCAGCAATTATACTTCAAATGTTCCTACATGAACCGGTTAAAATTAGAGTTTCTTTTGCTCAATTATAAAGTGAGGCTGAATGAACACATACTCTATCTATCTGGAGGAAAGTCTACCCATGCAGTGAGCAGCCCTTCTGCTAGATATGCAGGTCTGGTCTGGAAGCAGGGGAGGTAAGAGAAGGCTTACTTTGCTGATTTCGGTCAGGGACATGGTGATGCTGTAGAGCTGGTTCTTGCCGGTGCTGGCTATCAGAGTTTCTTCTGAGGGGCTGAAGCACATGCACAGAATGTCTTGTTTGTCTGACTGACTTGGATCATTGCTCTGTGGGTCTATAGGAATCTGCCCAAGACACAAAATAGGTATCTGTAATGGCTCTATACTATCAGCATGTACTTGGTTAGCATGTAATTGAGCTGTGAGAGTTCTACAGAATCCAGGCCTATATGAATCCTACCAGGATGCTACTTGGGATCAGCCTCAGGTATAGAGAAGAGAGGGCCTGAATGCCTCCATTTCTGTGCTATTTTGTTATTTTTATCATGTTGAGATTAAACTCAATCTTAAGCTTTCTTGGATTGATTGCTCAGCTGGTGCTCTACCACTTGAGCCAAGTTTCCATCTTGGCTTTTTTTTCTGGTTATTTTGGAGGTGGAGTCTCTCAGACTTTTCTGCCTGGACTGGCTTCAAGCTGTGATCCTCTGGATCTCAGCCTCCTCCTAAATTGCTAAGAGAACCACCAGTTCAGGGCTCTGTAGGTTTTGAACACCACCACACACTCACCTTTAGTAAATAGTGTCTGAATAATAAGATAGTTGCATGTGGCAAAATTATTATCAACTGATAACTTCCCTTTGAGATCCTCTGAAACCACATTAATCTAAATCCCACTCCTGCCCCCATGTTGGGAGCCAGTGGTTGTGGTCATCTGGCAGCAAGCACACCAGTATGTTGTTCTGGGCAGCAGAGAGTTGTGGCAGCCCTTTCACTGTGTGGAATGAGCCTTGGGGCAGAGAAAAGTAAACTCATACCGCTTCTGCCTTCTCCACCTCAGTCCCACCTTTCTTGCTATTTCCGCCAATTTTCCTATTTTGGGTACTTTTCCCAAGGTATCTAACTTCAAAGCCTGAGTCTCATCTTTGCTTCTGTGTCTGACCTCCTACATCTACTCAAAGACACTCTCCCTTTCCTCTTACCCATTACCCACTGCCTTGATCTCATTACCATTTGCTGCAATAACAAAAATATTTCTTAATTGATTGTTAAAAAATAGCAGAGTGACTACTGCAATTTTCTGAGTACCAGCTACTGCACACAGCAACTTAGACAGACTGTCATTTCATTTTTTTATCTCCCTGTCATGGCAGTTATCACATTATGTTCTTTTTCTTTTTTTTTGGCTAGTCCTGGGGCTTGAACTCAGAGCCTGGATACAGTGCTCAAAGCTGGCACGCTACCACTTGAGCCACAGCTCCACTTCCTACTTTTTCTGTTTATGTGGTACTGAGGAGCCCAGGGCTTCATGCATGTTAGGCTACATTCTACCCTGAAGCCACATTCCCAGCCTCACATTATATTCTTGGTGAAGAAAACATAGGTTTTAGAAGATCCAAATTCCATCTCAGGTCATTCAGCCAATATATGCAGAACCAAGTCTAACTTATTCAGTGTATTTTGAAACACTTTTGGAGTCCAGTGTCTCAAGAATCACTACTGTGTGTCACAGGCAGGTTGCTTTCCTTAATCATAACCCTTTTCTACTCAAAAGCTTCACAGGGTGCCTTCTGTATTACATCCTCCACCCTCAGACTGATGTTAGACATCTTGATCAGCCTTAGCTACTCTCTTTTTCCTTCAAGTGAGTTTAATCCCTCTTCACTGGGGAAAAGAATATCTCCCAAACACATTCTTGCATCCTCCTATGGTGCTTTTGTTTAAGTGTTCCTGCCATCTAGAGTTCCCATTCCTTCCTACCAAGTATTACCCATCTTCTAAAACCCTTCTTTCAAGAGTACTATCAAGTACTAAGAAGTCCTCCTTGTCTTCCACAAGCAGTCATACCTTACCACTCTCCATAATACTCTGTAATAATTATTCCATAAGCATTCCTGAAAGCTGATCGTATGCCAGGTAGTTGGCTTGGCATTAAATATCAGCATACACTAATAATAGAAGTGTTAAAAAAAACAATGGAAACTTTATGGTTCAAAGAAGAAATACAATTTTCCACAGTTCTCTCCCAGGATTCAAATCCAGAACATCCTAAACTCAGGTCTTGTTCATCTTATCCTAAATGCTTCCTCAGGCCAGAGATCTCTGCTACAATTTCTGGTCAGCTTTATAGCTCCCTCTTTCCCCTTCAAGTTCCTTGTCAGAATGCTGCTGCTGCTGCTGGAGAGCAATGCCAGTAAGACCCCAGCTCTGTTCTTCCCTTCCGTCCCTCCTTACCCGGATTTCCCTGCTCTCCCGGTAAGAGTCTTTCTCTTCCACCTTCTCAAACAGCAGAACTCTTCCTGGCCCAGCAGAGCAAGCAAATCCCTTCGAATAGGTTGCAATGGCAAACACTTGGGGCATGGGCAGCTGATTGTGGCTAGCGGTTGTGGTGACCTGTTCAAAGGAAGGGACTGGGGAACTGATTGGTGGAAATTCAATCAGGCTGGAAAAGGAAAAGAGCAAATAAAACTTCAGAGACTAACTCCTAGGGAGTTGAGTTTTTCTTGAAAGGAGAAAGAAGGATATCCCTAGATGTGCATAATAACATCACTGATCCCTTCCTTAGGCAAATGCTGTCCTATAGTCTGGGTATGCACTACGAACTCCAGAGAGGACTGTAAGGCGACATATTTATTTGGTAGCTCCACAACCTGGTGTGGGCATGATGATGATGGTGATGATGATGATGACTTTCATTTTGCTTAGAAAAAAGTGGCTCGGAGGGTTTGAGTTTTCTAAGATCACACAGGAGGTGACATTGTTCAAGAAGAAATATACTCTTTATTTATTTATTTATTTATTTTTGCCAATCCTGGGCTGTCTCTAAGCTTCTCTGTGTTCAAGGCTAGTGTTCTACCACTTGAGTCACAGTACTACTTCCAGCTTTTTCTGAGTAGTTTATTGAAGGTAAGAGTCTCATGGACTTTCCTGCCTGGACTAGCTTTGAACTGTGATCCTCAGATCTCAACCTCCTGAGTAGGTAGGATTACAGTTGAGCCACTGGCACCTGGCTAGAAATATACTCTTTACCTGACTTATATAACTGTAACCCCTCTGTCCATCACTTTAATGATTATAATTATATATAATATAAAATTATTACTATTATTTTGTCAGTTGGGGACTTGAACTCTGGGCTTGGGCACTGTCCCTGAGCTCTTCAGCTCAAGGCAAATGCTCTACCACTTGAGCCACAGTGCTACTTCCAGTATTCTGGTGGCTTATTGGAGATGAGTCTCATGGACTTTCCTGCTGGGGCTGGCTTTGAAATGTGATTCTTATATCCCAGCCTCCTGAGTAGCTAGGATTACAGGCAAGAGCCACTGGCACCCAGCACAATTTTTTTTAAGAAGCTAAGCTAAGCTGGGCACCAGTGGCTCATGCCTTGACACTCAGGAGGCTGAGAATTGCAGTTCAAAGCTAGCCCAGACAGGAAAGGCTGTGAGACTCTTATCTCCAATTAGCCACTAGAAAACCAGAAGTGGAGCTGTGGCTCAAAGTGATAGAGTGCTTGCCTAGAGCAAAAAAGTTCAGGGACAGTGGCAGGCTTGCCCTGAGTAAAAAAAAAAATCAAGCCGGGCGCTGGTGGCTCATGCCTGTAATCCTAGCTACTCAGGAGGCTGAGATCTGAGGATCTTGCTTCAAAGCCAGCTCCAGCAGGAAAGTCCTTGAGATTCTTATCTCCAATAAACCACTAGAAAACCAGAAGTGGCGCTGTGGCTCAAGCGGTAGAGTGCTTGCCTTGAGCTGAAGAGCGAAGGGACAGTGCCCAAGCCCAGAGTTTAAGCCCCAAAACCGACAAAAAAGGAAAAAAAAAAAATCACACAAGGGGTAAGTAGTAGAATAGGTCTCCATTTTTATTTATTTATTCACTCATTTATATAACAAATATTTATATTTGTTTATAAATATTTATTTGGAGTTATACCATGCATACACCTTTGGGAATCAATGGTAAATAAGATCAATGTAGTCCTTGCTCTCGGAAACTTTTTGTCTAGAGAGACAAGAGCTAAGGACTCTTTGGGGACTACCAACTATGACAGGAAGAAATGGCCAGCAAGTCAGCGGAGATGGGGCAAAGGTAAGAGAGGTCCTAGCCAAGACATGCAGGATAAACAGGAACACGTGTAGGTATCTGGGGGAGACACAGAGGGGGGAGGACAAAGGAAACTGCACATGATGAAGCCCACAAGCAAGAGAGTGCACAGGGCATGTGAGAAAAGACTGAGGTGAGAGCTGCTAATACTTTAGAAAGGTGAGCATGGCAGGGGCATGTGGGCTGAGTTAAGAAGTCTTTCTGCTGTAAGTCCCGTACCCACAGGAAGATGGTACCTGCATCTTGTAGATGTTTTATGATCTGCCACTTTTTGTGCCCACTCCCAATATGACCTTTTAATATGTTGGCATGGAACTCTGATCAGATCTGATATTTCAGAATAAAGAAATTTGTGCAGTACCACATAAGTTTGACTCTTGAGCATCTCCTTTTGATATGGATTGTTTCTGGACCAGTTTGTCTTAAGTTCTGCCTCTTATTGGTTCAGATGAAATTTTATCTTCACTTCTTTGTATATTATGTGTAAATGGGAAAACGAAAAATGTGTGTATAACAGTGTATGAATTTTTTTTAAAAAAGAAGACTGTACATGCAAGAAAATGGAGAAGGGCATAAGGATGTATTAGTAATATTCTACGCAACCACAACCAAAACAGGGTTGTCATCATATGGGGGGATGGTGAAAATGGGTGGATTAAAATTAGTGAGAGCCAGGCATTGGTGGCTCATGCCTGTAATCCGAGTGACTCACGGGGCTGAGATCTCAGGACTGTAGTTCAAACCCGGACAGGGCAGGAAAAGTCCATGAAACTCTTATCCCCCAAAATAACCACCAGAAAACTGGAAGTGGAGCTGTGGCTCAAAATGATAGGGTGCTAGCCTTGAGCAAAAAAGCTCAGGGACAGTGCCAGGCCCTGAGTTCAAGCCCTATGACTGACCAAAACAAATCAAAACAAAACAAAAACTACTGAGGGAGAATCTATGTCATGTGGTGAATGGCTTGGACTCTGGGTCAAAGAGATCTGGGTTTGAATCTTGATTCTGATCAGTGCTGTGATCTTGGGTGCATCACTTAACTTCTTTGAGTCACCATTTTCTGGTCTATAAAATTGGTATGATAGTACTATGTACTATATAGGGGTAAGACTCAAGGAATACAGGGAAAATACCGAGAGCAATGCCTGATGCATCCAAAAGCACACTGCTGTATGTGTGAGATAAGATTGTATCTGCTGAAGTATAGCTGACTGCTCCTTCCTGGATCCCCTTCCTATCTCACATCCAATTACACTTGCTTCCACTTTGCTTTTGATCTGTTGTCTCTTACCAAATTGTATGTGTCTTGAAGACATGCATTCCCAGTACCTAGCAATATGCCTGGCATCCTGTGAGGGCTGGCAGACACGTATTTGATCTGTTTAGTAAATGAGGTGGCCTTCCACTAAAATATTTATTTTTTGGAAAAAAAACCCTATAGTTTTGGAGACTAATCATATTGAAATGAAATCGTATATAAAAACAAAAAGAATCACATCTAAGCAATGGTTATAGCTATTAAATTTATGTTTAAATACAGATAAATACTAAAAGGATCAGAGAAACTAACACAGCTGGTTTTCAAGGTAGAGGGATTTTGGAAGAAGGCTATTGTTGGATAATTCCAGTAGTACAAGTGCATGAGCACCAGCCTCTAGGGGCACTGTTACCTCTCTGATTCATGGATGATCTCCAGGCTCTTTGAGCCATCATCAGTGTCCTTGACCATTATGCTCGTTTCCCAGCGCTGATCTCCAGACTCAAAGAGTAACAGCTTGCCTGTGTCAGTGCCAACAATGATCTTTTCTTCAGCTATCCAGGCATGGGCTAGATAGTTTTGGGGTTCTCCTCTCTGAAAATTGGTTTGCTTTAGTGTCCCCTCAGTAAAACGGAGAAGCTTAAACATCCCGTTTCCAGTGACACAAATCTGAGTGTTATCCTGGGGATTGATGCTCACCTGTAAAATGTGAGTGAATAAAAGAAAAACATTCATAAAATCAGTCTTGATGGAATTACTTTCTACTTTAATAATTAATATATTTCAGATAGTGGAGATTGGGGCTGGGAAGGTGGCTCAGTGGTACAGCGCTTGCCTTGCATGCATGAGGCCTTGGGTTTGATTCCTCAACACCACATAAGCAAAAAGAAAAAAGCCGGAAGTGGTGCTGTGGCTCAAGTGGTAAGAGCGCTAGCCTTGAGCTGAAGAGCTGAGGGACAGCGCCCAGGCCCAGAGTTCAGGCCCCACGACTGGACCCAAAAAAACAAAAAACAAAAAACAAATAGATAGTGAAGATTATTCCTTCCAGTCATTGAACTATGCAATCTTATTCCACACTTGGTAAGGACATATATCTATATCCATTGCATATGCAGGGGCCTATAATCTTAAACTCAAAAGAAACCTTTGAAGGTTAAAAACAGAATGAGCTGGAAGCAGTGGCTCACTTTTGTACTCAAGAGGTACTCAGCTACTCAGGAGGCTGAGATCTGAGGATTACCGTTTGAAGCCAGCTTGGGCAGGAAAGCCCATGAGATTCTTATCTCCAATTAATAGACAAAAAGCCAGAAGTGGAGCTGGAGCTCAAATGGTAGAGTGCCAGCCTTGACTGAAAAAGCTAAGGAACACTGCCCAGGCCCTGAGTTTTAGCCCCAGTACACATATTCTCTCTCTCTCTCTCTCTCTCTCTCTCTCTCTCTCTCTCTCCTCTCTCCCTCCCTCCCCCCTCCCCCACAGAGCCAAATGAGCAGGCTTTCACAGTAGACAAATTGTGTCAACAAAATGGATTTAAACTCAGCTAGAAACACAGAGAAATGAAGGTCAGGTAGGTATTCACAGCCCTTTCCAGTGGGGAAGAAATCATGTGTTGGGATTTGCTATGTAATCCCAATCCATCTTCAGCTTGGTCAGCCTGCTGATCTTACTAGATGGGAAGCAACTTGGGCACTATGGCTTCTTCATCTCTGTATTCCTAGTTCTATGTTCTATAGTGGGCATCTAATAAATGTTCACTGGGTCATTGGATCTACTTCAGACAGGGTATTCCCCGCACTGAATAGGACTGCTCTTCAGGCCTTATTATGGTCTGGATGAAATAACTTTATGTTTTCACCTGCTTTTGGTCTGATTCTTGGATTAACCAAACAACCTGATTACTAGTTTCACTTCGCAGCTTCAATTAGAAATGAAATACACTAGATAAATCAATGTTCTGGTTGTGATGTGCTTATTTATACACCAATCTTTGGAATGATGAATGGTGGAGCCTATGCTTGAGATATTGATTAGCTATTATCTCAGAACATAAACTGAGTTATTGAACTTTCCCTCAAACCACAGTAGAAAAATTCTGTTTCTCACATAATTGCAACTTCATTGACAGATTCCTAAAGAGTTACCATTTTATGTTACATGTCTGAAGTCTTCCTATTACCCAGCAACCTTTCTGAAAAGAGACCTGGCCAAGGAGACTAAGTTCTATGAATTCACCTCTAGGCCAGAGAAAAGATGACAGGAACTGGAGTCAGGGATGGCTGGCTTTGCCACTCACCACCTGTGTGATCTTGGTGAGTTACTTAATATCCTGGAACTTCAGTTCCCTCATCTGTAAAGTGGGGATCATATGCATTTCTTTGGTGCTAGTCCTGAAGCTTGAATTCAGAGTCTGGGTGCTGTCTTGAACTTTTTTGCTTAAGGCTAGCACTCTACCACTTGAGCCACAGCTCTATTTCTGGCTTTTTGGTAGTTAATTAGAAAGTATCATGGGCTTTTGCAGCTGGGCTGACTTCAAACTGTGATCCTCAGATTTCAGCTTCCTGAGTAGCTAGGATTATAGTCATAAGCCAGGCGTCTAAATATATTCTTTATATGGGTGTTAGGAGATGAACATTTTAAATGCATATACAAAATAAACACTGTGGTACAAAGAAAGCATTTACTAAGAAGCAGCTCTTACTATTTTACCGTCTGCATGACTCTCAGAGTATGCTAGCAGGTACCTGGTAGATAGGATTGTTCTGAAGGTCACTTTTAATTATGGCCATTACTTTCTGCTTTTCCCATAGCCAATAGACCAGATTTGACTCTGGAGGTGATGACTGAGTCAATAGGTATTTGGAGTCTGGAGAAAAAGACATGCTAATGAATTTCTGAGCTGGGAAGTCAAAATTACTCAGGACTTTGCGCTTCCGGCAAGGAACAGATGACAGTTCATAAATGGTGATTATGGGTCTATCTTGCACAGTCTCAGAGATAGCGAGGTATCGGCGATTGGGACTGATGGACAAGGCCAGCATGCCCTGACTCTTGTCTGAACCTGTGAATAGAAGTAAACGGGGATAATGAGGGCAGCTCATGCCTTCTCTGTGGTATTGAGTACCACTGGCACAAAGAAGGAAGGTGCATGAACACTAATAACCAGTTCTTGGCCATTCCTGAGTTCAACTGTGTCTGAGGTATTATGAAAATGACTAGGATGGGAACCAGAAACTTCTCCGGAAGTATGATGGGGTAGGGTGGGAGACGGGGACATGGGCAGGGGGAGCTCGAGCTATAGGCAAAGATATGAGAGAGGGTTTAGTATGGTGGGAGAATTGCAGCAATAGTCATAGCTGAATCATAGCACAGGTCTAGAAGGGTGGAATAAGGGTCCAATTACAGAGGCTTTCATGCCCTAAGTGCTATCACTCAATGCTCTCCTTTTATTCCAAAGGCCATGATGCCCACACATTAATTCGTTAGCCTCTCTTTCACTTGTGTGCCATTCTGTCTATGAAATGAATGCAGAAGTCTGCTAGAGTGGCTTTATAATAAAACTCTGTGTTTTCTTGAAAGCACATACATTCTATTTCCTCTTCTCCTGGAATATAGTAGGCATCTTGCAATCATGAAGTAATAATAATAAGCATGAAATGTAAGCTGTAAGCCTCTAGAAAACAAAGCCCAAGGCAAAGATTAAAGTGTCAACCCTTTATTTGAGCAATAAAATAGAGAGTGCATTACAATTTTCATGGGCCCTAGGTGTATTTGCTTTCATGGGATCCTTCCTCTGTTAAAAGTATTTCTTTAACAAGTATTTAAAATATATGCAATCACATATTTGATGACTACATTGATATAAAGAGAAACATAACTCAGGCTGGATTTGCCATAATCTAGTCATTATTGTTATATTCAATTTTTTCCCGAGTTTAACACAAATTAAAACCTTTTCATGAAGTATCATGGGTCCTAGGCATTGTGCACAGTAGATAAGGCATCCATGGATGCTGGCCCTGGATAGGGAGGATGAATGAGAGGAGAAAATGTGCTAGTCCTTTTGTGATGGGCTCCATGCTGCTGCTTCACAGCAAGCCAAGGAGAAAGATCAAGTCTCCCAGCAACATTCCTGCCTAGCACACAGGACTCCACTGGAAGGCCTGTGGGAACACCTGCACCTGAGAAGTGGGTTCTGGGGCATGGAGAGACTTGCAGAGTTTTGACTTTACGTGGGAGGCAATGAAGATAAATTTTAGGAAGGGTCAGATGTGTGTTGTAGGAAGCCCTCTCCAGCAATTGTATGGAAGACAATACTGGGTGGGGTGGGGAGAGGAAGTGAGGAAAACTGTCCAGCACTATTTGAAGAAGCAGAGATGATGGTAGCAATAAGCTGCATGAAGGCAGTGATAGTGATAGGAATGGAGAGGATGGAACTAGAGAAATGCTAAGCAAGAACCGGTAGGACTTAGTGATTACCTGGGTGAGGGATTGAGAGAGACATGAGTGGTGTCTGAGAGGAATGGGACACCCGGGTGGGCGGAAGATAGACTGAGGGGGTTAAGAGTGGCAGTGAAGATTGCATTCATTTGACTTTGGCTTAAGAGATTACATTCATTGAGACTTCGGTCTTATGAGCAGACTTAGAACCATCTGTGCATGGCATTCCAGGGTGTGTGTGTGTGTGTGTGTGTGTGTGTGTGTGTGTGTGTGTGTGTGTGTGTGTGTGTGTGTGTGTGTGTGTGTGTGTGTGTGTGTGTGTGTGTGTGTGTGTGTGTGTGTGTGTGTGATTTTTGTGTCTGGCACACAGGAAGTGCTTAATAAACTTCTGTTGAATGAACAAATGAGTATGTTTGCACTCCATTATGGTTCTGTGATGAAAACAAGCTAGGCATCATCTCCATTTTACAAATGATGAAAATGAGGCTCTATGAGCTTATGAAATGAAGAGCCAGATCGAAATCAGATCTCTCAAGTTCATGACCTGGCTAGTCATAATTTTACCAGGAAATTGGCTAGCATGGTTTTTTGGGGGCCCATATTTTAGAGTCACTATCCTCTGACTGTATCCCTTACCAGGATATGGAGCCAAAGGCCACCTGGAGTTTGCATTGCCTATTCTAGATTATGGTCTAGGTCCCCAGAACCCTGGAATTCCATGCTCAAATGGTTTTAAGTCTGCTCATAAGACGGGCACTGGTGTCTTCCCAGGTTCGTCTCTACCCTTGGCCTAGGCCTAAAGAAAGATAAAAGGGTAGCTGCTTAGAGAGTATGTGGACAACACTTGAACCTGTAGCTGGGAGGATCCACGGGCATAGGAATAAGGCCCCTGGTGATATAAGAGTGAGTTTGGAGAAGAAAAAGAGTGGTACATGTAAAAAATATAAGCAAATGAGCAGAATAACAGAAATTAAATCTCAGTGAGTACCTCAAGTGGTATGTTAGATACAGCTGAAAAAAGAATCAATGAAACCAAGACAAAAACAAAGCCCTAAAGGAAGTATCTAGTATATAACAGAGGGAGTTGATGACATGGAAAATCATGGAGGATGGTGTTTGGATGGTGGAGTTCCAGAGAAGATAATAGAATGAAAAAGATACTTTGACAAGCACCTGTGGCTCATGTCTGTAACCCTAGACACTCAGGAGGCTGAGTTCTGAGCATCGTAGTTCAAAGCCAGACCAGGCAAGAAAGCTGATAAACCATCATCTCTAATTAAACACCAAAAAGCTAGAAGCATAGCTGTGGCTCAAGTGGTAGAATGCTAGCCTTGAGCAAAAAAGCTCAGGGACTGCTTGGGCCCTGAGTTCAAACCCCATGACTGTCATATAAAAAAAAAAAAAAGATGCAATATCTGAAACTTGTCACCTGTGGTTCATTCTAGCTACTCACAGAAGGCTGAGATCTGAGGATCAAGGTTCAAAGCCAGCCTGGGCAGAAAAGTCCATGAAATGCTTATCTCCAATTTACTGCCAATAAAAAAAAGCCAAAAATGGTGTTGTGGCTCAGGTGGTAAAATGCTATTCTTGCGTGAAAAAGAAGTGAGAGAAGCCGGGCGCCAGTGGCTCACGCCTGTAATCCTAGCTACTCAGGAGGCTGAGATCTGAGGATCACAGTTCAAAGCCAGCCCAGGCAGGAAAGTCCGTGAGACTCCTATCTCCAATAAACCACCAGAAAACAGGAAGTGGCACCTTGGCTCAAGTGGTAGGGTACTTACTTGTCTTGAGCTGAAGAGGTGAGGGACAGCACCCAGGCCCAGAGTTCAAGCCCCATGACCAACAAAAAAAAAAAAAAAAAGTGAGAGAGCACAAGGCATTCAGCTCAATCCTAGTACCAGGACACACAGACACAAAGACACACACACACACACACACACACACACACACACACACACACACGCGGATACCATATCTGATGTGACAACTGTTAAAAATTCTCTAGAACAACTACATCATGCCTTAGGTCCAAGGACCCCAGGGAATTCTTAGGAGGATGAAAAATAAAAGTAATACACACACACACACACACACACACACACACACACACACACACACACACACACAGCTAGGATCTTAAAAGAAGATAGGAGGAAAGTCTGATCATCTGCAGAAAAAAAGATTTAATGGATAATTTCTTTCTTTTCTTTTTTTTTCTTTTTTCTTTTTTTTTGTTGGTCACAGGGCTTGAACTCTGGGCCTGGGCGCTGTCCCTCAGCTCTTCAGCTCAAGGTTAGTGCTCTACCACTTGTGCCACTTCCGGTTTTCTGAGTGGTTTATTGGAGATAGGAGTCTCACAGACTTTCCTGCCCAGGCTGGCTTTGAAACGTGACCCTCAGATCTCAGCCTCCTGAGTAGCTAGGATTACAGGCGTGAGCTACCGGTGCCCGGCAATAATGGATAATTTGTTAACCACCATAACAAATGAGAAGACAAAAATAACCCAATGAAACAGACCTCTATACAAGAATCTTAAAACTAGTTGAACTATCTTTCAAAAATGAGAATGACAAAAAGGCCTTTTTTAGACAAATAAAAACATTAAGAACTTAGTACTACATTGAAGTCTAATGGTGGCAACACCTGGTACATACAAGAGCAAATATAGGTGAATATCTGAATAAATTGATGACTAGTATAAATGTTAGTAATATTATGAAAAAATATAGAAAATGTATGTAATAAAATTCAGTTATTTGTTCACTGGGGGCAAAGCAGAAAATTAGAAAGGATTTTTTTGGTGGTCAGGGGGCTTCAATTCTGGGCCTGTGTGGTGTCCCTCAGCTCTTCAGCTCAAGGCTAGCCCTCTACCACTTGAACCACAGCACCACGTCTTGCTTTTTGGTGATTAATTGGAGATAAGAGTCTCACAGATTTTTCTTCAAATGCCCGCCTGGCTTAAAAAAACTGTTTAGCCGGTTAAAGGATGTTGATAACTTTATACATTAAGCATTCTTCGTTAGTAAGACATGTTAAAATGATTCCCTTTAAGATCAGAAACATGACAGGATGTCCATTTTTATACTTCTAGTCAACTCTCTCTGGAGGTGTTTGCCAGTCAGAAACACAAGAAAAAAAAAGTAAATAAAACTATTGTTATATATAGAAGTACAAATGTCTCTGTAGAAACATCTGACCGTCTATAGATAATTCATTAGAATTAATCATAGTTTAGCAAATATGCTGAACATAAAAATAAGTAAATAACTGTGTTATTTATTCCAACAGCATATTACATGGTGTTTAATAACTGATTTCACTCAAACTAAGAATTTCTGCCTATCACCAAAAGGAGGTAGAAAATACAAGACCCAGATTGGAAATATTTATAACAGCTGTATCATTAATGTACAGAATGTATGGTTAATATACAGTGTATTCATAAATCAGTAAGAAAGACCCAAGACCCAAACCCCACAAAAATGATCAAAAATTGGTACAAAATGTGAGCAGGATGCTTAAAAATAAAACTAGGTAGGAATATTCCATTCACACATGAAAAGATACTAACCATCTTCATTACTAATAGAAATAAGTTAAAACTACAATAATAACCTTTGTCAACTACCAGATTCACCAAATAGTTGAAAATCAAGAGTTGTAGGGAATATTAAGTTGTAAGGAATAAGGATCCTTAGGCTACAAGTGGGAATGTAAATTGATACTATCTAAGCAGTTTTAGTCTTGGTTGTGAGTTCTGAAGAATCTTTGAATAAGTGACGTTGCATAATATATGAATACAAAAATGTTCCCAGTGGTATGATTTCTAATAGCAAATTATCAGAATTTGATAGTTTACTTCCCAAATACTTCTCAAACTTCCAACTGTTGTGCATATTTGAGACATCATAGTCACAGGTTGTAACACTCTGTTGCAATAAAATGAGATTAGCTATAGGTATTAAGATATATGAATCACAAAAGGATAATGATGAACAAAAGAATCAAGTCATGCTAGGCTCTGGTGGCTCATGTTTGTAAATCCTAGCTACTCAGGAGTCGGCTAATCTAAGTGTGGGGATGGAAAGGGTTTTACCTGGGATGAATTTTTGCCATTTCTGATCCACATTGTACTTCACGCAGTGGTTTCCTGAAGGGAAGATAATGATTTGCTCATCGAAGAAGAAGATATTGTTGGCCACGTGAGATCGGAAGCCAAAAACATGCAGCGCCTGGGCTACTACGGTCGACATAGTCCTTTGCCAGAGTTCTGCTGGAGGTGGAACCCCACAGGTGAGAGCGAAGCCCCGCCCCTCCCTCCCCAAGGACACGCCCCTTGGCCCCGCCCTCCAGAGGTCTCACCCACCGCGCACCTTAGCAGCTCCCAGCGCCTCCTTTTCTCTAGCTCCCTGGTGCCCCCAGCATCTTCCAAGAATGCCAGGGAGCCCCCCCCGCCCCGCCTCCTACCTTTCGCTTTTTCGCTTTGGGTCCACCGGACCACGCACGTATCCGGAGTTGCAACTCCTAGAGAGTCCAAGCCACCGCCGCGCTTCCGGACGCCGGAGCGGTTCCCATAGCGACGACAAACCGGAAGTGTGCTCGGCGGCCGGAAGCGGAAGTTCTGCCCGAAAGTGGAGCCGGAGCTGGTAGTTGTCAGAGCTGGTGTGGCGCGGGCGCACGTGGGGCCGCGGCGGGCGGTCGTGGGACGCTGAGGGCAGCACCGGCGAGGAGGGTCATCCCCAGCTAGCGGCGCGGACCTCCGCCACCCCGCTCCGGCCGGCGGGCGGTGATGGACACTCCCCCGCTCTCGGGCTCCGGCTCGGACTCTGAGGACTCCGTGGTCACGGACCGAGAGGTGGGTGGCGGGCGCGGGCGCGGGCGCGGGCGCGGGCGCGGGCGCGGGCGCGGGCGCGGGCGCGGGCGCGGGCGCGGGCGCGGGCGCGGGCGCGGGCGCGGGCGCGGGCGCGGGCGCGGGCGCGGGCGCGGGCGGCGTCTCGGTTGCTCCGGTGTTGACCGCGCCTGTGTCCTGCAGTTGCAGGATGCATTTTCCCGCGGACTTCTGAAGCCAGGCCTCAATGTCGTGCTAGAGGGGCCGAAGAAGGCCGTGAACAACGTGGTGAGCTAGCTCGGGGGCCGGACGGGGGGTGGGGGCGGGTATTGGGAGATGGGGTGATCACCCGGCACTGCTGTGCAAGAATCCGGTTCTTCTTCCGGGAAAGATCCCTCCTGCGCATTTCCCGGGGTGGATGACTGTGGGTATTTGGGATGAAGGCTTTGACTTGTTGGCTTACCAGCACCTTGGGTACTCATCTTATGAGTGTAGCGTCTGACTCTCCTAGAATGGACTGAAGCAGTGTTTGGATGAATTCAAGCGGGATCTAGATTGGGTTGAAAGGCTGGATGTGACCCTCGGACCGGTGCCCGAAATCAGTGAACCTCAGCCAACTCCTCAGCAGAATAAGGACCAGAAGAAAGCTGTGAACCCAGAAGACGACTTCCAAAGAGAAATGAGTTTGTATGTTTGTTTTCTAACGTGGAGAAGTTGGGGATCCTTGTGCTAGAGATTGGCAGAGAGGGGAATTTAGTGAGCCTTCCCCTGCGGAAGCACCAGGAAATTTGCATAATCAGCCTAGGAAGACGCTGGAAAAGCTAGATTTCCCCCTGGTTCAGACAAGAGCTCCAGGCACGAGTGAAGTCCAGTTTGTGGACTGTTTTGTAAATAACTCACTATAAAATTTTTGTGTATGCATGTGTGTATTGTTACTTGAACAAACTTTAAGGTCTCTGAGTGGACTTCTTTTTGAGTGATTACTTAAGAATTCATAATTGGCATTAGTTTGTGTTAATTGTATCTGTAAGTGCGCTTTCTCCTTTTCTTTCTTCCTTTTTCTTTTTCTTTTTCTTTCTCCTTCCTTCCTTCCTTCCTTCCTTCCTTTCTTTCTTTCTTTCTTTCTTTCTTTCTTTCTTTCTTTCTTTCTTTCTTTCTTTCTTTCTTTCTTTCTTTCTTTCTTTCTTGTCATTCCTGGGGCTTGAACATCATCCCTGAACTCTTTCATTCAAGACTTGTGTGCTACCACTTGAGCCACAGCTCCACTTCCAGCTTTTTGGTGGTTATTGGAAATAAGAATTTCAGGGCTTTTCTGCCTGGGCTGGCTTCAAATCAAAATCCTCAGATCTCAGCTTCCTGAGTAGGTAGGATTAGTCAGGGGTGAGTTCCAGGTTCCCTGCTTTTAAGCTACTAATTTACTTTCACTTAAAAAAAAGCACAACAAACAACAATGCATAATGAAATTTTTATTGGATGCTGAATTAGGTTTTATTACCATTTTGTTTGCTTGTTCATTTGTTATTGTTAGCGACAGTCAGAGGTTGAGAGATGCTCTCAGCTTGGATAACTCATGGGAGGTCATAAGAAGGAATCAATGCCGTTCTCCTCACTACAGTTCATACTTTATCCTACAATCTCAGCTACCGCCAGGCCCAGGCTGCTGTACTGGCAGTATTACCACGGCTCCATCAGCTCCACATCCCTACCAAGCGTCCCACCGATTATTTTGCAGAAATGGCCAAGACTGATCAGCACATGCAAAAGGTAAGAAACAAAGGTTCCCCCCTCCTCTGAAAAACTAAGGCTTTGAACTGAAATATATTCAGCTGGCTTAGCTCCTGAATATTTGAAAAAGGTATGTAAAGCTCAGAAATGGGTCTGGTTGTCAGAGACAGTTATGTCTCTACTTCAGAGTCATGCCAATCACACTAAAGAAGATGACACTTCCCTAATTTAAATAGTTTACAGAGAAGAAGCACTGTAAGAAATGTAGGTAAAGATGGCTTTTGCACTTCCTTGTTAGCACAGTGGTAGCATGGTGCATAGAGAGTCAATGTAAAATCCAAAAGTATTTAAATAGTTCCCTTGAGCCTTAAACTGAATTTTGGGAGATCTTGGTGGTACCCAGAGAAACTAATCCAGCATAGCTAATCATCCCAGATATATCTCTCTACGTTGAGCTTCTTAGGTTTTCCCTGAGAAAAACTTAAGAAATTAAACATAACATGTTCGTAAAAGAGCATGTTAGGGATCTACAGGAATTTTTAAATGTATAATTTGGCCTGTTAGAGAAAGGCACTGAGGCCGTGTGGCTTAACCAGAATACATACACAGCAATGGGGAAGAATAAGTATTCTTTCTTAGACTACAAGTAGGCCAATGTGTGTACTGGAACAGGCAGCATTGGAAGGTTACTTTTTTGTTGTTGTAGATCATGGGGCTTGAACTCAAGGCTTGGGCACTATCCCTGAGCTTTTCTGCTCAAGGACTAGCACTCTTGTCAGTTTGAGCCACAGTTGCATTTCCAGTTTTCTGTGATTAATTGGAGGTAAGAGTCTTACCAACTTTCCTGCCTGGGCTGGCTTCTAACTGTGGTCCTCAGATCTCAGCCTCCTGAATAGTTAAGGGAAGGTTACTTTTAAGCTCTATCACTGACATTTGTGATACCTTAGGCAGAATGCTCAGCCTTTGAAACTCACTGTCCTTGTATTGGTGATTTACAAGTTGTGATCCCTGTTCCAGTGCCTTTTAAGTAAAAGCAATATCTGCAATATTTTGTATTTTAGATTCGACAGAAGCTACAAGCTAAACAGGCTGCCATGGAGAAGTCTGAAAAAGCTAAGCAACTGAGAGCACTTAGGAAATATGGAAAGAAGGTAAGAAAGAAAATAGGCAGGGAGTAGAGAGAGGCCAGGAATGTCTGTCAGGTTAGATTGCTGTGGTCTGATTGGCTCTGTGCTACATGTGTATTAGATTGCTGTGGTCTGATTGGCTCTGTGCTACATGTGTATTAGATTGCTGTGGTCTGATTGGTTCTGTGCTACATGTGTATTAGATTGCTGTGGTCTGATTGGTTCTGTGCTACATGTGTATTAGATTGCTGTGGTCTGATTGGTTCTGTGCTACATGTGTATTAGATTGTGCTCTGCTCTCACTGTGCAGTGTTGCCGCTAGTTTTCTTGAGCACAATCTCACCTGACGCTGTGCTGTACCAGGAGTAGTGTGATATCAGCAGGTTAACTGAAAGCTAGGGCTTTTATGTAGTGAAGAGCTGGGTCCAAACCTGACCCATCAGCAGAAGCACAACTGGAAAATTGCAAAAGATTTTTATGCTTCAGAGTCTCTGAAAATGTCTACATGGGATGCATTTGGTTTAGATGATCCTCAAGTCTGCAAGAGGATCATACTATTTATTACTGTGAAGTCTGAGAGAAAAAAAAAAACCGTACCCATGTGTATTTGAGTATGAATGTCTGAGCTCTAGTGTAAAATCAGATCAGGTAAATGATGAAACTGTCTTATTGGATGGTCTTCTAAATGGAAGGAGAAAGGAATTAGAATTAGTGTGTGGGAGGGAATGGGGTTGAAAAGGCTCTGTTTAGGTTTCATAAGCATTTCTGACATAACACTTGTGATCTGGCTTATGAGGCTGTTGTTCTTACTTGGGGTCATTTCACTGACAAGTTGTAGTATTCTGTCCTCTGCACAAGGTCCACTGATCTTGATTCTCTAATCTGTTTTTTTTTTTTTTTTGGCCAGTTCAGGGGCTTGAACTCAGAGTCTGGGTACTGTCCCTGAGCTGCTTTTGCTCAAGGCAGCACTCTACCACTTAAGCCACAGCACCATTTCCAGCCTTTTCATTTTATGTGGTACTGAGTAATTGAACCCAGGGCTTTATGCATATTAGGCAAGCTCTCTACCACTAAGCCCTATTCCCAGCCCCTTGATTCTCTAATCTGAAGGTGGATGGTTGGCATCATTTCAAAGACACTAAGCATTAGTTAGTATAACGTAACTTATCAAAATAAAAGAAAAAGTAAGGCTGCTTAGCATGTATGTATAATTTGAGGAAACTAGGATAGTGGTTCTCAATTTGGGGTGATTTTGCCCTCCAGAGAACATCTGTAACTGGAGACATTTTTCAGTTGTCACATCTTGGCATAGAGGGTTCTGTTTGCATCAAGTGGGTAGGGGAGCAGGGATGTTACTAACTGTACAGATACAGGACAGGCCTTACCCAATGAAGAACTATCACATCCAAAATGTTAATGGTGAGAAACTCCGCCTTAAATAATAGTTTTTGTCCCTAAAGCATTTTTTTTCTGTTTTCTGGGATGGTTGTTTTTCTGTTGTTTTTTTTTATATTTTCATAGTAACAGGATTGGAAATTTAATCTGCTCAGATATAATTAATAGGAGAACTTGAATATAAACCTAAATGTGATTTGCTACAGTTTCCTAGGCAGGATTGTGTGATGAGTGAAAAGTGTAGGCTTTGGGTTCAGGCTGCCCACAATGCAGTTTAAAAGAGATTAAGAATTTGAACTACACTGGATTAGTGTAGAGACGTACATGTCTGTACATGTTAAATGGTGATGGTATTGATCTGTGTATGTGTGTTTTTACTAGTTATTGAGAGAATGCATGTGCTTGGAGTAGTGGTTGTGAATGGATATAACTTCTGTGTCCATATCACAGGTGCAAACACAGGTTCTTCAGAAGAGGCAGCAGGAGAAATCACATATGATGAATGCCATCAAGAAGTACCAAAAAGGTCAGGATATTTCTCTTCTAAAGACGTAGGAAAATAGAGATCTCTGGTACCCTTAGAGTTAATCTGAACACACAATGCATTGGGGAGGTCTTATTTATTGATTTGGAGCTGTTAGACTTACATTTTTGGAATGGTGTGACTTTAGAAGTTATACTTCTCAAATCACTTATAACTTACATTTTGAGGCTTAAACTTTTTTTTAATAAGTACACTGGTGCTGATCAGAATGTTTCTTCACTCAACAGGCTTCTCTGATAAACTGGATTTCCTTGAGGGAGATGAGAAACCTGTTGCACAGGCCACGAAGGCCACAAAGGCCACAAAGGCAGGAGCTAAAGGCCAGAACATGAAGAAGGGGTAACAAGTGTTTTGGTTTGCCTTGGTTCTGGGATGTGAACTGGGCTGACAGTCCATGAGTACTATCGGCCCCCTCCCTCCCCCCACCTCCGGGAGCCCACCGCTATGTGGAAAGAAGAATACTGATGCTGCCTCGGGCCAGGACTTATAGTGGCATCGAGCTTTTTTTTTTTTTTGGTCTGTCGGTTGTGGGCCTTGAACTCTGGGTGTCTGGGCACTGTCCCTGAGCTCTTCTGGTGGTTTTATTGGAGATAAGAATCTTATGGACTTTCCTGCCATGCCTGGGCTGGCTTTGGGCTGGCTTTGAACCATGATCCGTAGATCTCAGCCTCCTTAATAGCTAGGATTACAGGCATGAGCCACTGGCTCCTGGCCCACAGATGAGCTTTTAAGCCATAAACAGTCTTTGAAGATGAACATGGGCTTATTTGAATAAAAGTCAGATAACTGTGTGATTCCCAGTTAATGTGATAGTTAACAAGTGCAAGACCAAGGGTTCAGATCCAGCTTCTGCCATTCAGTTGGGAGCAAGTCCTTTGTTCAGTGCCTTATCTACTATATCAAGGAAGTGATTTGTGCCTCTTGGTATTATGAGATAGAAAGGGAAGTATGATGCTCCTGAATGAATAGGATCAGAGTTATGAAACAGCAGGTTGTATGTGAGAAACAGCCAGCATTAGCTATTACTAGATAGCAGTGTGAAACTAGGAGTGAGGAGCTGTGTTGGGTTCCTGGGCTGTTCATTTGCCTGTTTCAGATCTCCGGCTTCATCCAGTAAGCAATGTAGAGACGCAGGCTTTTTTTTTGGGGGGTGGGGGAAAGGAGTGTCTGTTGGTCATTGGCCTTGAACCCTGGGCCTGGGCATTGTCCTTGAGCTCTTTAGCTCCAGGATAGCACTCTAGCACTTGAGCCACAGCTCCATGTCTGGCTTTTTGGTGGTTAATTGGACTTTACTGCTCAGGCCTCCTGAGTAGCTAGGATTATAAGCATCAGCCAATCAGTGCCTGGCTAAAAAGCTTTTTGAGAATAGGAGAAAGCCATATAATTTATTTAGATCCCTTCCTGCTTTTCTTTCCTTTTCTGAGGTTAAAACTATGGGAGTGCCGAGTATTGGTGGCTCACACATAATCCTAGCTACTCGGAAGGCTGAGATCTGAAGATTGTGGTTCAAAGCCAGCCCAGGCAGGAAAGTCTGTGAGACTCTTTATCTCCAATAAACTACCAGAAAACCAGAAGTAGCACTGTGGCTCAAGTGGTAGAGTGTTAACCTTGAGCTGAGGGACAGTGCAAGGTCCAGAGTTTAAGCCTAAGACCGACAAAACAAAAAAAAAAAAGCTGTGGGTCTGGGAACAGTATTGTCTCAGGAGCTTTGTAGGAAGGAATCAGAAGCTATTGTTTGGTCACAAAGTTCCTCATAATTTAGGGTGCTAATCTTTTTCCAGGCCCAGTGCTAAACGACGGTATAAAAACCAAAAGTTTGGTTTTGGTGGAAAGAAGAAAGGTACCAAATGGAATACTCGAGAAAGCTACGATGATGTATCCAGCTTCCGGGCCAAGGTAGCTCATGGCAAGGGCCTCAAAAGGCCTGGGAAGAAAGGAGCGAATGTAAGTGAGCCAGGTTCCAGGCTGCGCAGGGTCAGCTTTTTCTAACTGCCACACCTCCTCCTCCCTTCTTTGTTCTTCTCTCCCTAGGGCAGAAAGCCAAGTACTGTGTGACTAAATTTGTTTTTGTTTATTTGTTTTTGTTTAGAAGAGACCTGGAAAACGAACAAGAGAGAAAATGAAGAGCAGAACCCGCTAAATAACATCTTTTTATATGAAAAATGAAGAAAAAGGGACAATATGCAATTTTCAGTATACTTAGATCCTTTTTCTTAGTTTCTTTTTGTACAAAATTCTTTTAATAAATTAAACAGTTTGAAAGAAACACTCATGGATTAAAACCTCAGGATTGAAAGACTGATGTTTGTGCCTTGAATAAGTTAATTGATAGCAAGTCCAAAATGCTTTCCTTTTATAATAACTGAAGATTTAAGTTCAGACACCACCTCATTTCATCTTCTCCTTCTAAACTGTCTTATCACAGTCCCTGTACAGCTGGTAAAATGTGATCTGATTTTCTCTGTGTACAGCTGTTGCTGTACATATAATCTTACAATTTTTCTGCCTACCTAATTTTCCTTCTGTGTCCTTACCTTTTCCAAGACCCTTTGTTACTTATCTGCTTATTTTCCTGCTAGAGCCTAAGTCTGCCATATAGCTGTCACCTTGTCTCTTTTTTTTTTTTTTTTTTTGTCGTTTTTTTTTTTGTCGGTTGTGGGGCTTGAACTCTGGGCCTGGGCGCTGTCCCTCAGCTCTTCAGCTCAAGGCGAGCGCTCTACCACTTGAGCTACAGCGCCACTTCCGGTTTTCTGGTGGTTTATTGGAGATAGGAGTCTCACGGTCTTTCCTGCCCGGGCTGGCTTTGAACCGCGGTCCTCAGATCTCAGCCTCCTGAGTAGCTAGGATTACAGGCGTGAGCCACCAGTGCCCGGCTACCTTGTCTCTTTTCTAGATGGTCTAGGTTAGCTCCAGTGTTGGATCACATATTTTTCTTTCTTGTGCCTTTTTGGTGCATACTATTTTCTAGTATCTCTGCATTTTTGAAATTGCCTTTACTTTGACTAGTGTGAATTTTCCATTGGAATGTTGAAGGCCCTGTGGACTTTTTTTTTGCCATTGAGGGGGCTGATTCACTCATTTTCCTTCCTCTAGAAGGTTTTCTTCCTGACAATCTGAAAGTTTTCTTCCTGACCATACTTGGTGTGGGCCTGTGTACATTCTCTGATGAGGGTATTTCGAAAGCTTTGACTTTTCCATCTGGACATTATCACCTCTTCTCCCTATCATCTCCTTTTGTTCTGACTCAAATTTCTGTTAGTCAGATATTTAGCCTCTTCTGTTGATGACATCTAGATCTGTATTTGGGGTCTCTGTTGAGAGAAAGATTGCTTCTTTTTTCCTAGTCATTTGATTGAATATTTTAGTTCTCATTTACATTATAAGTTCTCTAATTGGTCCTTTCATGTATTTGGTTCTTCACTAGTTACAGAATTTTCATTAAGTGAAGATTTGGATTACACTTTTAATTTTTTATACATTTTTTTTTTTTTGGGTCTGGTCGTGGGGCCTGAACTCTGGGCTTGGGCGCTGTCCCTCAGCTCTTCAGCTCAAGGCTAGCACTCTACCACTCGAGTCACAGCTCCACTTCCGGCTTTCTTTTTGCTTATGTGGTGCTGAGGAATCGAACCCAGGGCTTCATGCGTGCAAGGCAAGCGCTCTACCACTGAGCCACCTTCCCAGCCCATACACTTTTAATTTTTGATAAAAGTCTTCTGTTTCCATAGCTGCCCCTTCTCTGTGTATATTTGCCTCCCCCTTTCTCTTTTAAAAATTATTTATTTTAGCCAGCCCCTAGTGACTCATGTCTGTAATCCTAGCTATTCAGGAGGCTGAGATCTCAGGATTGCAGTTTGAAGCCAGCCTGAGCAGAGAAGTCTGAGACTTATTCCTGAAAAACTACTCAGAAAAGGTGGGAAGTGGTGCTGTGGCTAAAGCGGTAGAGTGCTAGCCTTACACAAAAGTTCAGGGACACTGCCCAGGCCCTAAATTCAAGCCCTAGACCAGCACCAAAAAAATAAAAAAGTTAGCTTAATTGTACTTATTTATAAATACAATGTGATAATCGCTACTTCTATGCAATGTATTGATTAAGGTAATTTACATTGCCATCTTCTTTTTTTTTTGGGTCCAGTTGTGGGGCCTGAACTCTGGGCCTGGGCGCTGTCCCTCAGCTCTTCAGCTCAAGGCTAGTGCTCTACCACTTGAGCCACAGCGCCACTTCCGGCTTTTTTCCTTTTTGCTTATGTGGTGCTGAGGAATTGAACCCAGGGCCTCAGGCATGCAAGGCAAGCACTCTACCACTGAGCCACCTTCCCAGCCCATACATTGCCATCTTCTTGTCATTACTTTGTATTTGGAGCCTCTGAACTCCTGTTATTCCCAAATATATGCTGCTAGGATATGTGAACTCACGTCATCCACTTGGGCTGGAGAACACTAGAACTTACTCTGTCAAACTTACTTGGTACCCATTATCCAGCCTCTGCCTCCTTTCCTTGCTTCCTAGCCTCTAGTAACCATTACACATTCAAATTGGACTCTTTTTTTTAGCATCACCAAATTAGAGAGAAAATGGAGTATTTGTCTTCTCTATCAGATTGAGTAGAATGTACTGTAAAAGTTGGAGACTTGGAATTGAGTCCTGGCTTTGCAGCTTTGATGCTTTGTGACTTTGGACAAGTGAGGTTTTCTGTTTTATCACCTGTATGACAAAATAAAGACATAGTGTTTACCTCTTTTTCTATTTTCATTGAGTTAATATATGAAAAACATTGAGAACATTGCCACAGAATTAATCCTAATGCAATTTAATCATTATATAACCAACAATCCTTTTCATAGTCCCCTGTTTAAGATGACTTTGCTGGAACAGTATATTAGTTTTTTTTGCTGATGTTTTTGTTGCTTCTTTTAAAATTTGCAATGGCAAAATATCCAAATCTAGGTACTTTATAAGGAAAAGAGGTATATTTAACTCATGGTTTGGTAGCTGATAGTCCAGGGTTAGGTGACACCATTTTTGTTCAACCTCTAGTAAGAGCATCATGGATGATGCTACCATGAACCTCATGGTAGCAGCAGGAAACTAGACAGATTCAGGGGTCGGGTGTGTTTGGGGAGGCCCATGCACTCCTTGGGATCTAATTACCTGATACTAGGTCCTACCTCTTAAAGGTCTCCCCACCTTTTCTTTTTCTTTTTTTAAAAAAAATTTTCTTAATATCATATAGAGGGGCCCAAGCCTGCAGCACATGAACCTCTGGGGAACAAACTCCCAAGTTCAAGGCAAGCCTGGGCAATAGAGTGAGATTTTGTTTTAAAATACAACAAAAAGAGGGTTAAATAGCATTTTCCATTGCCAAATAGAACTAATCACTATGTAAAAAGCAGATACATAATAGTGGTCAAGCATCACTTCTTCCAAAGTCTGGTTACTATGTGTTCATTTCAGCAAGGGATTCATGGACAGCGGTGTAGAGTTACATTGCTTCCTGTTTCCAGTGATAAACCCACATGCATTTATTTTGTTTTTTGTCTGTTTTGGGGCCTGAACTCTGGACCTGGGTGCTGTCTCTCAGCTCTTCAGTTCAAGGCGAGCACTCTACCACTTGAGCCACAGCGCCATTTCCGGCTTTTTCTGCTTATGCGGTGCTGAGGAATCGAAGCCAGGGCTTCATGCATGCAAGACAAGCACTCTACCACTGAGCCACCTTCCCAGCCCAACCCACATGCATTTTAAAGAAGCAGATAATTGAAGGAACTGACTGGCAGAGATGAATGTGCAGCACAGAACTGAAAGTGATAAAGTTGGACATATAAGTGAAATGAAAGTAGCAGGAGCTATAGATGAAATAGCTGATGTGTAAGTGCTATTATTGGTACTATTGTAGAGGTTAGTCATGGTTAGGGAAGGCCAACTTAGTAACATTACTAAGGAGAGATGCAAGAGATGAAAATGTCCCCAATGCAGTCACATTACCAAAAATATTGTTAAAGGGACTTTTGTAGGTGTTTCAAGACATTTGCAGCACCAAGTAATAAAATATTGGAAGTGGGCTGGGAAGTTGGCTCAGTGGTAGGGCGCTTGCCTTGCATGCCTGAGGCCCTGGGTTCGATTCCTCTCAGCACCACATAAGCGGAAAAAAAAGCCGGAAGTGGTGCTGTGGCTCAAGTGGTAGAGCGCTAGCTTTGAGCTGAAGAGCTGAGGGACAGCGCCCAGGCCCAGAGTTCAGGCCCCACAACTGGACCCCAAAAAAACAAACAAAAAAAACAAAAAAACATTGGAAATGAATCAGACTTCTTAAGAATTTTCTAAAACAAAAAAAAAGCTGAGTGGTGGAGTACTTGCTCAGCAAGGCTCTGGGCCCTGAGTTTAATAACTATCTCAAACAAGCAACAAAAACAAGCTTGTTTATATCATAGATTGTCCAGCAAGAAAAAGAGAGCAAGTACTTTTTCGTACAAAGATAAGCATGATGATTCATAATATTTGTATTGTTTCAAATTGTAGCATCTATGGCATTTGTTTTCATTCCTTATATATTTGACAGTTTTTAATGTCTTGACTTTTTTTTTTTTTGGATATTTTATGGATAGGAACTTGTTTGGGTTTTGCCCCAGGACTATGATTCTCCCTGCTTCCCTACATAGCTGGGATTACAGGTACATAGCACCGTCTGTAATCTTGTTTAATGTTTGTTCAGATGGGTTCACTAATTCTGCCTTGAGTTGAGATCTTCCCTGAATTTCTGCCTCCCAAGTAGAATTACAAGTTTGAACCATTGCTCTAGGCTTGAGAGACTTAGCCTTCAGAGTAACTGATCCCCCCAGTGTTTAGTGTTTAGTGAGATCATTTTGCATGGTTTTAGCAAATGGGGCTTTTTTTTTTTTTTTTTTTTAAGGATGAATTGAGTATAAAGTGACAGTTTTCCCATTTTGTGAGGGAGTTGAGGAAAGGGAAAACAAATGGTGGTGTTGCTCTATTAAAAAAAACAAGACCTGCAACTATTCTCCTTTTGACAAAAAGGAGTTAGGGGCTTAATCTGTTTTATAAACAAATTACTTTTTTATATTGTCAAATAGCAAATATTCATGGTAGTGAGTTCAAACAAGTACATTTTCAAAATTGAAATCTGAATGACAAAAGCATCTTCCAGATGCAGTATAAAATGTTTTCAGTGTATTTGTATGAAAACATTGGACCTCACTGCATACATGTAAACAAACTCCTTGCCAAATCAGAAATGTTACGTGGTCTTTTCCCTTCCTAACCCAACCATCTTGCTGGTTGAATTGACCCATGTTAGATGCACTCATATGATGGTGATATGGGTGATGATGGCTCTGATGATTCCAGAAAAAAAAAAAATTTAGGCCCCCCCCCCCAAAAAAAAAAACAAAAACAAGGACATAGAAAACAAGCAGAGTGGATGCCTTGGGCTTCTGTATCTACCACTTGCAGTTCACAGCCACTCCTGTAAGGAAAATGAGCCTCTTCCTTTTGGAAATGATGCTCACAGAAGCACAGTTATATGTAGGATTTACAAAACACCTTGCATACAATGCAGGATTTCATTGCTCACAATCTGCCTCTGATACAAAATGGGGTAAAAATGCCAGAACTTATTACCCTAGGAGTTTCTGTCCTTCACCAAGCCTTTTGAAATAAAAATCAGGATCCAAAGACAAAATGTACTGTGTCTTCCTCTGGTTGAATGTATTTCTTCTCACTCTGGAATAAGAGATCTTCGACAGTTTTTTTTTTTGTTGTTGTTGTTCTTTGTTTTTTTTTTTTTTTTTGTCCAACCAAAGTAGGGAAAAGCCACATTGGTGAGTACAATTCAAAATTGAGAAATTAACTTGTTTTTCTTAAAACTTTGCTTACTTTCTATAAAATGCTATTGTACCATTGAAATTTATGATAACAAGCAAATAGGAAAATACCTGAAAACAGTAATGTGCATTCTAAAAGTTCTGGGCTATTGCCACATTCACCCTACATCCTTTCCACTTGTCTGTGTACTCACAAGTCCACCTACTTGTTTCACTACTCTGTGAGGTCTCCCACCCAGTCCCATTACAGTGATTTGCACATGGTAATTAGTAAAAATATTAGCTAGCACTCACAGCGCTATGTACCCTAAGCACTTGTATTTTTGTTTAATTCTCTTAAGAACCTGAAGAGATAGAGAGATCAAAACACCTGTCAAAAGTCACACAGCTAATGCATGGCAGAATTGGGATTTAAAACCAGTTCATATAGCTTGCTGCTGAGTGGCTCATGCCTTTAAATCCTAGCTACTCAAGACAGATCTGAGGACTGCAGTTCAAAGCCAGAGCAGGCAGAAAAGTCATCGAGACTCTTATCTCCTATTAATCACCAAGAAACTGGAAGTGGACTCAGGTGGTGGAGTGCTAACCTTGAGCAAAAGAAGCTCAGGGACAGCACCCAGGTGTGCGCGTGCGTGCGCACATGCACACACACACACACACACACACA